CCAGGATTAGATCCTGGATAAAGGTCGTTTTTCCGTTGACAGATCTGGCGTTCAACAGCACCACCTTCAGTCCGGAGGGCCCGCCAACCTGGTTACACCAATTTACCATAGGAGACCGGTTTGGAATTATTAATGTAGGTAAGTGGTCCGAATTAGGCCGAATTTGAGGTCTCCTTTTCCCGCATCTCCCCCTCCCCACCACGACCTCTATGGGGGCCCCTCGGCTCGTGGAACACCTCCCCTCCTCCATGCCGCAGTCCAGGTCCAAGGTCTTAATTTCTGTTTCGTTGGTAGTTGTTTGGTTTGTTGGCGTTTTTTCTTGCCACTTCCCTTGCTTCCCTTTCTCCTCCCTCCCCACCTCATTGTTACCCACGGACTCCAGCCCACTTCGTCCCTTGCCCCTTCCACTAGTCACTAATATCAGGGACAATACCACCAGGGGAATGGGGAACCACATGGGTAGAAATAGTACACTTCAGTAAGATTGATCGTAGTAAAGTGTAGTAAACGTCCCAGCTGCGATAGTTAGATAGTTCATAAAGTGCAAGAGTCTTCAAGTGCAAATACAAAGACGTCACAGCTACGTGTCACTAGGACATCGTAAGGTGCAGGATCTTAAAGTGCAACAAATACCCACGTCTAGCTCTGAGCGCTATCTAAAGTGCAGCATGGAGGGATAGGGAGAGGGAGCGTAAGTGCTAGTTCGATTTAGCAGCAAAGGAGGCAGGCGCCTTAAAGTGCTCTATTAAGTTCTTAGTACCAATTAGCAGCAGGTAGATCGGAACACTAGAGTGCTATTAAGCAATATACAGGGTTAGTCAAAATGAATAGGCCAATAAGAAAATTAATTTTAGACAAATGTATGTTTATTGTAACCAAACTACAGCTACGTAGCGACAGATAAACTATCAAAGTTTTGTCTCACCTTCAGAGATGTTCGATATGGGCGCCCCGTGTGACACGGCAGATGTCCAAGCGATAGTCCAGTTCATTCCCCATCCGTTGCAGCACATCCGACGTAATGGCATCGAATGCAGCAACGTCTGGGAAGGTGTTCGTTGAGGTCCTAACCCTAACCCTAACCCTAACCCTAACCCTAACCCTAACCCTATCCCTATCCCTAACCCTAACCCTATCCCTATCCCTAACCCTAACCCTAACCCTAACCCTATCCCTATCCCTAACCCTAACCCTAACCCTAACCCTATCCCTAACCCTAACCCTAACCCTAACCCTAACCCTATCCCTAACCCTAACCCTAACCCTAACCCTAACCCTAACCCTAACCCTCCCTAACCCTAACCCTAACCCTAACCCTAACCCTAACCCTAACCCTAACCCTAACCCTAACCCTATCCCTAACCCTAACCCTACCCTAACCCTAACCCTAACCCTAACCCTAACCCTAACCCTAACCCTATCCCTATCCCTATCCCTATCCCTATCCTATCCCTATCCCTATCATCCCTAACCCTAACCTATCCGCTATCGGTGGGGGGGGGTGTCTGTTATCCTATGTCTCGCTAAACTTCTCAATGTTAGGTCGGCTCAGCTTATTTCTCTTCCCTATAATCTCTTTACCCTTCTACCATCGTGCTTCGCACTCTGCTCGTGAGTCGTCCTAGGTCGCTTATACTGCTATTACTTCTATCTAGGATATTCTTTTTTGTCCATCATGGGCTGCTCTATTCTCAGGAAATTACCCTAGATGCTCCGCTTGTACAACCTTTACTATTCCCTGTATACGCTAAACCTATCCCTAGTCCCTAACCTCTACCTATATTCCCTAGCCCTAACCCTAATCCCTAACCCTAACCCTAACCCTATCCCTATCCCTATCCCAAACCCTACCCTATCCCGATCCCTAACCCTATCCCTAACCCTATCCCTAACCCTAACCCTAACCCTATCCCTAACCCTATCCCTAACCCTAACCCTTGAAATTCTCGCTGGACCGTAATTACTGACATTGTTTTAGCAAATGTCATCACACAAAACGCCTTCTCTTTGCTTGATTCCGCCATTTTGAAAACAGCGACCCCTAGCGACGCCTAGCGGCATTAACGTACATGTGTGTTGCTCAAAAAAAACTTTGATAGTTTATCTGTCGCTACGTAGCTGTGGTTTGGTTACAGCAAACATACATTCGTCTAAAATTAATTTTCTTATTGGCCTATTCATTTTGACTAACCCTGTATAAACACAGTATTAATGAGTTGGCAGTAATCTCAGTTGGTAAAGTTATTATGATTCAAGATGTAATATATGGACGGCTGATGTAACAGCGAATGAGTCTCTCAGTCTTCCGGAGATGGTCAACACGGCGGTGGTCAGCACAAGATGGTCTACAATATCGGTCAACACAGGAAGGTCAGCACAAAAAACTGCAATCTCGGTCAACACAGAAGGTCGGCACAAAAAGGTCTGCACGCGGCTTGCTCAGGTGGTAGGGCCCAGGTGGTAAAGGATGGTGAAGGCCCAGGTAGCCAGGGCCCGCGAACAGCCCTCTCAGATGGTAAGGCCCAGATGGTAAAGAGCAGCGGCCCGCAAACAGCCCTCTCAGGTTATTATTAAATGTTGGAAAATCTAGATAAATATTTGAAAATATTGCTAATAATAATGATGACATTATTGTTATTATTATTACTAAATGTTGTTGGACCTAGAGAATCCTAGAGAAATTATTATTATTATTATTATTATTATTAAATGTTGGAGAATCTAGAGAAAAAATGGAAAATATTTCAAATAATAATAATTATAATTATTATTAAATAATAACAATTATACTCGCATTATTAATAATATTATTATTATTAAATGGAGAACCTATAGCAAAAAGGGAAAATATTGCAAAAAATAATACTAAAAATGTCATTATTATTGTTATTATTAAATGTTCTTGGAGGAACTAGAGAAATAATGGAAGTTATTAGAAATAATAATAGTACAAAACAGGAGCTTTTTTGTTGAGTTTCAGGGCCAGAGAAGCATATTGTACAGCCTGCCTCAGGGGAGCGTGCTTGCTCCATCCATGTTCAACATCGACACAAATGACCAGCCACTGCCAGAAGGGACAGAGAGCTTCATCTATGCCGATGATCGTGCCATCACCACTCAAGCAGGGAGCTTTGAGATGGTTGAACAGAAGCTCTCTGAAGCTTCTTATTGCCTGTTACAGGGAAAACCAGCTTGCTCCATCCATGTTTAACATTTACACAAATGACCATCCACTGCCAGAAGGGACAGAGAGTTTCATCTATGCTGACAACAGTGCCATCAACGCTCAAGCAGAGAGCTTTGAAATGGCTGAACAGAAGCTCTCCAAAGCTTTAGGTCAGTGTTTCTCAACCTTCGTAATGAAGAGTCATACAGTTCCTCATGTTGAACATCGACACAAATGACCAGCCATTGCCAGAAGGGAGAGAAAGAGTTTCATCTATGCCAACGATCATGTCATCACCACCCCAGCAGGAAGCTTTGAAATGGCTGAATAGGAGCTCCCCGAAGCTTTAGGTCAGTGTTTCTCAACCTTTGTAATGCTGCGACCCATTGATAGAGTTCGTCGTGTTTAATGTTTATACAAATGATCAGTCACACCTCCTCATAGGAAACCTGCTACAAAACAGGAGCTTTTTTGTTGAGTTCCAGGGCCAGAGAAGCAGATGGCGGAAACAGAAGAACGGCCTGCCTCAGGGGAGCATGATTGCTCCATCCATGTTCAACATCTGCACAAATGACCAGCCACTGCCAGAAGGGACAGACATCTTCATCTATGCAGATGACGGTGCCATCACCACTCAAGCAGGGAGCTTTGAGATGGTTGAACAGAAGCTCTCCAAAGCTCTAGGTGCTCTTACTGCCTATTACAGGGAAAACCAACTGATCCCCAATCCATCTAAAACACAGACATGTGCCTTTCACCTTAAGAACAGAGAAGCATCCTGAGCTCTGAGGATTACCTGGGAAGGAATCCCACTGGAGCATGGCAGCGCACCCAAATCCCTGGGAGTCACTCTGGACCGTGCTCTGACCTACAAGAAGCACTGCCTGAACATCAAGCAAAAAGTGGGTGCTAGAAACAACATCATACAAAAGTGGACTGGCAAAACCTGGGGTTCACAACTAGACACAGTTACGGCATCTGCCCTTGCGCTTTGCTATGCTGGTGCTGAGTACGCATTATCACGGGACACATAGCCATTTAATACTATATATATATATATAATAACATTGGACATAGGCCTGACTTTTATTTTAATCTCATTTTATTTATTTTTCCGCCCATCAGTCGTCATTCGTCCTCAGGATCCGCAGCAGCATCTCATGCACCTCTTTGTCCATGAAGCCCTAAATTGGAGACATATTATCATTATTATTATTATTATTATTATTATTATTATTATTTATTATACTGACAAAGCAAATGAAGTCTATAACCTGGCTTTTGTATCACAAAAAACATATATTAATGTATAATAATGATATTATTATTATTTCAAAGAATAATAATAATAATAATAACATGAATATTAACATTATTATCATTATTATTAAATATTGTTGGAGAACCTAGAGAAATAATAGAAAATATTGGAAATAATAATAATAATAACAACATTAAATTAAATATTGTTAGAGAACCTAGAGAAATAATAGAAAATATTGGAAAAAATAATAATAGCATAATAATAATTATATAAAATATATAATATTATATAATAATAATAAATGTTATATATTATTATTATTATTCCAATATTTTCCAATATTTCTCTAGGATTCTCTACGTTCAGTATTTAATGATGATGAGGATTATTATTATTATTGTTGTTGTTATTAAATATAGTTGCAGAACTTAGAGAAATAATAGAACATATTGGAAATAATAATAATAATAGCATTAAATTAATTATTGTTGGAGAACCTAGAGAAATAATAGAAAATATTGGAAATAATAATAATAATAGCATAATAATAATGATAGAGAAATAAATAATGTTATATAATAATAATAATAAATGTTATATATTATTATTATATATAACATTAACATTTGTAATTATTATTATTAAATATTATTTATTTTTATATAATTATTATTATTCTCTAGGTTCAGTATTTAATGATGATGATGAGGATTATTATTATTGTTATTATTAAATAATAATATTATATATTATTTATATAATATTACATAATAATAAATGTTATATATTATTATTATATATAACACTAATTATTATTATTAAATATTATTTATTTTATTTAATTATTACTATGCTATTATTATTATTATTTCCAATATTTTCTATTATTTCTCTAGGTTCAGTATTTAATGATGATGATGATGAGGATTATTATTATTATTAAATATAAAGAATATTATATATAATTCATATAATATTACATAATAATAATAAATGTTATATATTATTATTATATATAACATTTATTATTATTATTAAATATTATTTATTTTTATATAATAATAATTATGCTATTATTATTATTATTATTTCCAATATTTTCTATTATTTCTCTAGGTTCAGTATTTAATGATGATGATGAGGATTATTATTATTATTATTATTAAATATAGTTGCAGAACTTAGAGAAATAATGGAAAATATTGGAAATAATAATAGCATTATCATTATTATTACTACTAGTAGTAAATGTTTTGTTGAAGGCTTTCATGGCTGGAATCGCTGGTTTGCTGTGAGCTTTCCGGGCTGCCTGGCCGTGTTCCGGAAGCATTCTCTCCTGACATTTCACCCACATCTACGGCAAGCGTGCTCAGAGGTTGTGAGGTTTGTTGGAAGCTAGGCAAGTGGGGTTTGCATATCAGGGCCAGCTAACATCTTCCAACCAAAGATTGGGGGGAATCCTACGGGGAGGCTGGAATCAGCCAGGCTTTGAAGCTGCAAAGCTATTCGGGGCTAATCAAGCTGGCCAATGGCAACATTCCCACTCGCCTCCAACAGACAAGAGTTCTTTCTCCCACCCTGGACATCATTCCACCTCCCAACAAAGGATTCCCCTCCAGGTAGCAACCAGACAGGCTTTGAAGCTGCAAGGCCATTCAGTGCTGATTGAAACATTCCCACTTGCCTCCAACAGAGAGAAATAATGGGAAATATGGGAACTAATAATAATAATAATAATAATAATAATAATAATAATAATAATATGAGTCTTACCTGGGCCGCATTGAGCAGGTGAGTTCGGTAAATGGCCACAATCTCTTGATGGTTTTTCTGGGCCACCTGTTAGGATAAATATTGATATAAATATTATTAATATTAATATTAAATATTGCAGAAAAATAGGAATATATTGCATTCTAGGAATATTAATATTATTAAATGTGTATGGTGGAAAACTAATTGATAAATTATTTATATGTCCAATTGGATTTTCAATTAATTGTTAATTCTGCTAATCGACACTGTATCGTTCCAGTTTTAGTGTATGTGCTGTTGAATATTCTGTGAATATTTCATTTATCCTAATAAATAATAATAATTGCAGGAAAAATAAATACTACTACTACTACTACTACTACAAATAAATATTATTAATAATAGTTATTTTTCTTGCAATTATTATTATTATTAATTTTCCTGCAAGTATTATTATTTATTTTTCCTGCAATAATAATAATAATAAATTTTCCTGCTATTATTATTATTATTATTAATTTTCCTGCTATTATTATTATTATTATTAATTTTCCTGTATTTATTTATTTATTTATTTATTTTTCCTGCAATTATTATCATTATTTATTTTCCTGCAATTATTATTATTTATTTTTCCTGCAACAACAACAACATTTATTATTATTATTATTATTATTTCCTGCAATTATTATTATTAATAATTTTCCTGCAATTATTATTATTTATTTTTTCTGCAATAATAATAATAATAATAATAATAATAAATTTTCCTGCAATTATTATTATTATTGCAGAAAAATAAATAATAATTGCAGGAAAATTAATAATAATAATAATAATAATTGCACGAATAATAATAATAATAATAATAATAATAATTATTATTATTATTATTGCAGGAAAAGTAAATAATAATAATTGCAGGAAAATTAATAATAATAATAATTGCAGGAAAATTAATAATAATAATAATTGCAGGAAAAATAAATAACAATAATAGTAATAATAATAATAAATGCAGGAAAATTATTATCATTATCATTATTATTATTCCAGCATTTCTTATTATTTATTTTTCCTGCAATAATAATAATAAATTTTCCTGCATTATTTATTTATTTATTTATTTTTCCTGCATTTGTTATTATTATCATCATTATTCTATTTATTCTATTTATTTTTTTCCATATTTATCTCACCTCGTTTTGCAGGCGGAGGCGGGTGCGTTCGCTCCGGAGGTTCAAGATTTCGCTGGAAAGCTTCTCCGTTTCCTTCAACAGCTTCTTGAACTGAGATAAAACAGAAAATTTATGGTGATGTCTATCAGGAGACCTGGACTAGATGACCTTTGGGGTCCCTCCAAACTCTATAATGCTACATCTACCAGGAGACTTGGACTAGATGACCTTAGATGACCCCTGGGGTCCCTCCCACTTCATGTCTATCAGAAGACTTGGGCTAGATGACCTTTGGGGTCCCTCCAAACTCTATAATGCTATCAGGAGACCTGGACTAGATGACCTTAGATGACTTTTGGAGTCCCTCCCACTTCTACAGTGCTACGTCTATCAGGAAACCTGGACTAGATGACCTTTGGGGTCCCTCCAAACTCTATAATGCTACATCTACCAGGAGACTTGGGCTAGATGACCTTAGATGACCCCTGGGGTCCCTCCCACTTCATGTCTATCAGAGACTTGGGCTAGATGACCTTTGGGGTCCCTCCAAACTCTATAATGCTATCAGGAGACCTGGACTAGATGACCTTAGATGACTTTTGGAGTCCCTCCCACTTCTACAATGCTACGTCTATCAGGAAACCTGGACTAGATGACCTTTGGGGTCCCTCCAAACTCTATAATGCTATGTCTATCAGGAGACTTGGACTAGATGATCTTAGATGACCCCTGGGAACCCCCCAAGTTCTACAATGCAATGTCTATCAGGATACTTGGAATTGATGATCTTAGATGTTCTCTGGGGTCTCTTCCACTTCTACAATGCTACGTCTATCAGGAGACTTGGACAAGATGACCTTCGGGGTCCCTCCAAACTCTATAATGCAATGTCTATCAGGAGACTTGGACTAGATGACCTTTGGGGTCCCTCCCAAGAGGGACTTATCAGAAGACTTATACTACATGACCTTTGGGGTCCCTCCAGACTCTATATTGCTTTGTCTATCAGGAGACTTGGACTAAATGATCTTAGATGACCCCTGGGGTCCCTCCCATTTCTAGAATGCAATGTCTATCAGGAGATTTGGACTAGATGACTTTTGGGGTCCTTCCAAACTCTATACTGCTACGTCTATCAGGAGACCTGAACTATATGATCTTAAATGACCCCTGAGGTCTATCCCATTTCTACAATGCGATGTCTATTTGGAGACATGGACTAGATGACCTTTGGGGTCCCTCCAAAGTCTATACTGCTTTGTCTATCAGAAGACTTGGACTAGATGATCGTAGATGACCCCTGGGAACTCCTCCCAGTTCTACAATGCAATGTCTATCACGAGACTTGGACATGATGACCTTTGGAGTCCCTCCAAAGTCTATAATGCGATGACTATCAGAAGACTTGGACTAGATGACCTTAGATGACCCCTGGGTTCCCTCCCACTTCTAGAATGCTATATCTATCTGGAGACCTGGACTAGATGAGCTTTGGAGTCCCACCAAAGTCTATAATGCTAAGTCTATCAGGAGACTTGGACTAGATGATCTAAGATGACCCCTGGGACCCCTCCCACTTCTACACTGCGATGTCTATCAGAAGACCTGGACTAGATGACCTTTGAGGTCCCTCCAAACTCTATAATGTGATGACTATCAGAAAGCCTGGACTAGATGACTTTTGGGGTCCCACCTAAGTCTATAATGCTATGTCTATCAGGAGACTTGGATTAGAGTGACCCCCGGGGTCCCTCCCACTTCTACAATGCAATGTCTATCCGCAGACTTGGGCTAGATGATCTTTGGGGTCCCTCCAAACTTTATACTGCTTTGTCTAACAGAAGGCTTGGACTAGATGATCTTAGATGTTCCCTGAGGTTTATCCTACTTCTACAATGCAATGTCCATCAGGAGACCTGGACTAGATGACCTTTGGGGTCCCTCCAAATTCTATAATGCCATGTCTATCAGAAGACTTGGACTAGATGATCGTAGATGACCCCCTGGAACTCCTCCCAGTTCTACAATGCGATGTCTATCACGAGACTTGGACTAGATGACCTTTGGGGTCCCTCCAAAGTCTATAATGCGATGACTATCAGAAGACTTGGGCTAGATGACCTTTGGGGTCCCTCCAAACTTGGACTAGATGATCTTAAATGACCCCTGAGGTCTATCCCATTTCTACAATGCAAAGTCTATCTGGAGACCTGGACTAGATGAGCTTTGGAATCCCACCAAAGTCTTTAATGCATTGTCTATCAGGAGACTTGGACTAGATGACCTTAGATGACGCCTGGGGTCCCTCCCACTTCTGCACTGTGGTGTCTATCAGAAGACTTGGACTAGATGACCTTTGAGGTCCCTCCAACCTCTATAATGCGATGACTATCAGAAAGCCTGGACTAGATGACCTTTGGGGTCTCTCCAAAGTCTATAATGCGATGACTATCAGGAGACTTGGACTAGATGACCTTTGGGGTCCCTCCAAACTTGGACTAGATGATCTTAAATGACCCCTGAGGTCTATCCCATTTCTACAATGCCATGTCTATCTGGAGACCTGGACTAGGTGACCTTTGATGTCTCTCCAAACTCTTTAATGCAATGTCTATCAGGAGACTTGGACTAGATGACTTTTGGGGTCCCACCAAAGTCTATAATGCTATGTCTAGCAGGAGACTTGGATTAGAGTGACCCCCGGGGTCCCTCCCACTTCTACACTGTGATGTCTATCAGAAGACTTGGGCTAGATGACCTTTGGGGTCCCTCCAAAACTCTATAATGCTATCAGGAGACCTGGACTAGATGACCTTAGATGACCTTTGGAGTCCCTCCCACTTCTACAATGCTACGTCTATCAGGAGACCTGGACTAGATGACCTTTGGGGTCCATCCAAACTCTATAATGCTATGTCTATCAGGAGACTTGGACTAGATGATTTTAGATGACCCCTGGGAACCCCCCCTCCCCCAGTTCTAGAATGCAATGTCTATCAGGAGACTTGGAATTGATGATCTTAGATGTTCTCTGGGGTCCTTTGAGATGCCCTTTGAGGTCCCTTCCACTTCTACAATGCAATGTCTATCCAAAGACTTGGGCTAGATGATCTTTGGGGTCCCTCCAAACTTTATACTGCTTTGTCTAACAGAAGACTTGGACTAGATGATCGTAGATGTTCCCTGAGGTCTGTCCTGCTTCTACAATGCAATGTCTATCAGGAGACCTGGACTAGATGACCTTTGGGGTCCCTCCAAACTCTTTAATGTTATGTCTATCAGAAGACTTGGACTAGATGATCGTAGATGTTCCCTGAGGTCTATCCTGCTTCTACAATGCAATGTCTATCAGGAGACCTGGACTAGATGACCTTTGGGGTCCCTCCAAACTCTATACTGCTTTGTCTATCAGAAGACTTGGACTAGATGATCGTAGATAACCCCTGGGAACTCCTCCTAGTTCTACAATGCAATGTCTATCACGAGACTTGGGCTAGATGACCTTTGGGGTCCCTCCAAACTCTATACCGCTTTGTCTATCAGAAGACTTGGACTAGATGATCGTAGATGACTCCCTGGAACTCCTCCCAGTTCTACAATGCGATGTCTATCACGAGACTTGGACTAGATGTTCCTCCAAACTCAATAATGCTTTGTGAGTCAACAGAGATGGTTCCTACCTTCTCTTCCTTTTCCTGTCCAGCCTTGGAGACCTCCTCCACCTTCTTGCCCAGCTTCTCGATGGTGGCCTCCATCCTCCTGGACTTCCCCCTCAGTTCCTCCACTTCCTCCTCGCGCTCCGCCATCTCCGCCAGCAGCTCCCGGTTCATCCGCGCCTCGCTCTCGAGGGCCTCTGCCCGGCGACCAGCTTCACCTTTGGCCTCCTCGAACTTATCCCGGAGCGTGGCCAGCTCCTCGGCCAAGACCTGTGCTCGGACGGAGAGCATCCCGCGGACCTTCTCGTGCTTCCTCAGTGCCTCCTCTTCCTCCTGGCGCAGGGCGGCCATCGTGGCCACCATTCGGTCCACCAGACCTTTCAACTTGGAGACTACCTCGTTCTTCTCAGCACCATTCAAGGCCTCTTTCAGCTCGTGAAGGATGTCCTCCAACTCGACCAACATCTGCCGGACCTTTGAGTTGTCTCCCACGGCGTCCAGGGCTTCCGCAGGGATGTCCGGCACCGTCCTCTCGCTCTGGTGGAAGCTTTGGTTGAGGTTCTCCTCCTCCATCTCGGACACCAGCTGTAGAGCCTTGCTCTGCTTCTTGGCCACGTTGTCCAGCTTCCAGTGGAGTTCCTTCAAGATGCAGCTGTTGAGGGTCTCGGCCCCGAAGAGGCGGGTGGCCTCCATCTTCTCCAGGAAGCGGGCCTTCATGGCCGCTGTTTCCTCCGACTGAGCTTCCAGCTTCACCCGCAAGTTCTCGGAGACCTCCTTTTCGGCCGAGAGCTCTTTGGACAACGACTCCACCCTCCGCTTCAGCTCTTCCGTCAGTTCCAGTTGTCGAGATCCTTCTTTAGGACTGTACAAGGTTCTCAGTTCTTGTTGTAGCTTCTCCCGTTCTTTGCTGAGTCGGGATAACTCCGTCGCGAGGTGGCCATTGTTCTTCTTGAGGTCCCACACCTCTTTCTCCAAGTCGGAACTTTTCCGGCACGGACGGGCCTTGCCCTCAGTCGAGCTAGGCTTCAGCCTGAGCTTGACCTCCCCGTTGTGGGCCTTCTCGGTGTCCTTTGAGATGTTCTCCTCAGCATGGTGTCCATTGTTGATGACGCAGATCTCCACGTTCTTGTCCTTTGAGATGTTCTTCTCAACATGGTGTCCCTTGTTGATGATGCAGACCTCCACGTTCTTGTCCTTGGAGATGTTCTTCTCAACATGGTGTCCCTTGTTGATGATGCAGACCTCCACGTTCTTGTCCTTTGAGATGTTCTTCTCAACATGGTGTCCCTTGTTGATGACGTTGATCTCCACATTCTCATTCTTTGAGATGTTCTTCTCAACATGGTGTCCCTTGTTGAATACGCTGACCTCCACATTCTCGTTCTTTGAGATGTTCTCCTCGACATGGTGTCCGTTGTTGACATCTTCTAATGAAACATCTTCCCGAAGCGTTCTCGCCTTCTCCAGGAGCGTTGAATGAGCTCGTTCCACCTTATCCAAGGCGCCTTCGAGACCTTCGATGGCCTTCTTCCAAGCAAACATGGCCTTCTTCACCACTCCTGATGGCACCGCTTGGAACAGGAGGCGGCTCCCAAGGGTCTCCTCGGCCTCTTGCTTCAGAGCCGCGTTCTCTGCTTTCATAGCTTCGTTCTCCTTCCATGTTTCCTTGTACGTTGCCTCCATCTCCATTAAGAATGCAGAGAACCCCTTTTGAGGATCTCCGTCCAGACGCTTCTTTGCCAACATCTCGTGTAGACGTCGGTTCTCCTCCTCCATCTCCGCCGCCCGGGCCTCCACCTCTTTCTGGTGCTTCTTCTTGGATTCGTATACCTTGATGACCGCTCTCATGTTCTCCATGTGTCCCTCCATCTCTTGCACCCGTTTCAGGGCTTCGATCTTCTCCTCGAGGGCTGTGGCCACTTCTAATTGTAGACCCTTGACTTCGGTTTCATGGCGTTGCCTCTCCTCCTCGTCTTCCACTCCCGGCCACTGGATCTCTCTAGGTTGACTCGTTTCCTTCCGAGAAGAAGACCTTATCTCCTCCTCTTTCTCCTTCTCCGCTCTCTCCTTCCTCCTCTTGAGTTCTCGCACTTGTTCGGCCAAGAGGTTGAGGTAGTAGTCCTCCTCCGTCGCGTCCCGGCTGTATCGCCGGCTCAGCTCGTTCCACCCGTGGCTCTCGCCCTCTCCGTCCGGAAGGAGCTGGTTGATCTCCTGGACATGGTCCCACACTCGTTCCTTCATGGCCTTGCCTCCTTCCAGAAGGGCCTCGCACTCCCTCGTCTTCTGGGCCAGAGACAACTCCAGCTGGATCACCTTCAGCTTCTCCTCTCGGTACCGGCTCCTCCACTCTTTCAGCTCCGGGTCTTCTTCCTCCTCGCTGTCGTCCTTGTCGTTGTCTCCGTCGTCGTCGCCGTCGTCGTTCCGGCCGTTGAGGTTGAGGCTGAGGCTGCTCACCTCCGTCTCTTTCCCGCTCTCCGACAGGAACTACGAACACAAATATGTTTTATCTATCAATATCTCTTCCTATCGATATCGATTTCTCTATGTTTATCTCTCTCTCTCTCGCTCTCTATGGATCTGTCTTTATCCATCTATCTCTACAAAAGGGACAGAGAGTTTCATCTATGCTGACGATCATGCCATGTTATTAAATGTTGTTGGAGGACCTAGAGAAATAATAGAAAATATTGGAAATAATGATAATAATAGCATTATTACTACTACTATTATTATTATCATTATTATTATTATTATCATTATTATTAAATATTGGAAAATCTAGAGAATTAACAGAAAATGTTGCAAATAATAATAACAACATTACTAATAACATTATTATCATTATTATTACATGTTAGAGAACCTAGAGAAATAATAGAAAATATTGGAATTAATGATAATAATAGCATTATTATTATTATCATTATTATTATATGTTGGAAAATCTAAATAAAGGAAAATATTGCAAATAATAATAAGAACAACATTATTATCATTATTATTAAATGTTGTTGGAGAACCTAGAGAAATAATTTGAAAATATTGGAAATAATAATAATAATAATAGCATTATTATTATTAAATGTTCGAAAATCTAGAGAAATAAAGGAAAACATTGCAAATAATAATAAAAATAACATTATTATCATTATTATTACATGTTGAACCTAGAGAAATAATAGAAAATATTGGAAATAATGATAATAATAGCATTATTATTATTGTTATTATTATTATATGTTGGAAAATCTAGAGAAATAAAGGAAAATATTGCAAATAATAATAATAACATCACTTATAACATTATTATTATTATTATTATTATTATTATTATTGTTAAATGTTGGAGAACCTAGAGAAATAATAGAAAATATTGGAAATAATGATAATAATAGCATTATTATTATTATCATTATTATATGTTGGAAAGTCTAAATAAAGGAAAATATTGCAAATAATAATAATAACAACATTATTATCATCATTATTAAATGTTGTTGGAGAACCTAGAGAATAGAAAATATTGGAAATAATAATAGCATTATCATTATTATTATCATTATTATTAGATGGAAAATCTAGAGAAATAATGGAAAATATTGAAAATAATGATAATAATATTAACACCAATAATATTATTATTATTATTATTATTATTATTATTATTATTACTAAATGATGTTGGACCTAGAGAAATAATAGGAAATATTACAAATAATAATAGAATTATTATTATTATTAAATGTTGGAGAACCTAGAGAAAAAATGGAAAATATTACAAATAATAATAATAATAATAATAATAATACTAAATGTTGTTGGGCTTAGAGAATCCTAGAGAAATAATAGGAAATATTACAAATAATAATAATAGAATTATTATTATTAGTATTATTATTAAATGTTGGAGAACCTAGAGAAAAAATGGAAAATATTACAAATAATATATGTAAAATTCAAGTAATATTACAAATATTATTATTATTATTATTAACTGTTGGAGAACCTAGAGAAAAAATTGAAAATGTTACTACTACTACTACTACTAATAATAATAATAATAATTACAATGTTATTATTATTATTATTATTATTATTATTATTATTATTACTAAATGTTGTTGGACCTAGGGAATCCTAGAAAAATAATAGGAAATATTGCAAATAAGAATAACAATAGCATTATTATTATTATTATTATTATTATTATTATTATTATTATTATATAGAGAACCTAGAGAAAAATGGAAAATATTGCAAATAATAATAATGGCATTATTATTGTTATTATTATTATTATTATTATTATTATTATTATTATTATTATTAAATGTTCTTGGAGGAGCTAGAGAAATAATGGAAAATATTGGAAATAATATTAGTACAAAACAGGAGCTTTTTTGTTGAGTGCCAGGGCCAGAGAAGCAGATGGCGGAAACAGAAGAACGGCCTGCCTCAGGGGAGCGTGCTTGCTCCATCCATGTTCAACATCTACACACATGTCCAGCCACTGCCAGAAGGGACAGAGAGCTTCATCTATGCCGACGATCGTGCCATCTACGCCCAAGCAGAGAGCTTTGAAATAGTTGAACAGAAGCTCTCCGAAGCTCTAGGTGCCTTACTGCCTATTACATGGAAAAACAGTGGATTCCTAATCCAGCTAAACCGCAGATGTGTGGTTTTCACTTTAAGAATGGATAAGCATCTTGAGCTGTGAGGATGACCTGGGAAGGAATCCCACGGGAGCATTGCAGCACATTCAAATACCTGGGAGTCACTCTGGACCGTGCTCAGACTTTACAAGAATCACTACTTGACTATCAAGCAAAAAGTGAGTGCTAGAAATAACATCATACGCAAGTGGACTGGTATATCCTGTGGTTCACAACTAGACACAGTGACGGCATCTGTCCTTGTACTTGCTGCTGAGTACGCATGCCCAGTGTAGACCACATCTCACCATGATAAAACAATGGAAGTGGCTCTTAATGAGACATGCCACATTATTACAGGATGTCAACACCCTACGAGGCTGGAGAAATTATACTGTTTTGCCGGTATTGTACCACCGGACATCCGTGGCAGCCAACAGTGAAGAAGCAGCCAACAGTGAAAGGACTAGGGCAGTGACAGCTCCGGCCTATCCTCTGTTCAGATATCAGCTACCAAGACACCACCTTAAATTAAGGAACGGCTTCTTAAGATGTACAGAGATTCTCTCAGGAACCCCTCAGCAAGCAAGAGTCCAAAAGTGGCAGGCCAGACAATAGTGAAAGGACCAAGGCAGTGATGTCTCTGGCCCATCCTCTGTTCGGATATCAGCTACCAAGACACCGCCCTAAATTGAGGAACGGCTTCCTAAGATCCACAGAGATACTCTCAGGAACACCTCAGCAAGCAAGAGTCCAAAAGTGGCAGGCTAGACAATAGTGAAAGGACCAAGGCAGTGACATCTCTGGCCCATCCTCTGTTTGGATATCAGCTACCAAAACACCGCCTTAAATTAAGATGTACAGAGATACTCTCAGGAACACCTCAGCAAGCAAGAGTCCAAAAGTGGCAGGCTAAAATCCGGAACATATATCCAACGATATGGTATTTTCCACAGCAATTCCTTCTTACCTGGGAGACGGTTTCAGACGAAAGATCGAGACCTCGTTCTGCGGAAAGAGAGGGAAAAATATGTTTGAACGGAGAGGCCGACGAAGACCTTGGAAAACTACAACTCCCATAACTTTCCTTCCGTTGCCCTTCACCTTTTTTCCTCCTCTTCCGGAGGGCGTTCTGGACCAATCGCCGCAGCTTTTTGTTCTTATTCTGCGCAGAATAATGGAGGGCGTCATGCCCCATCTTGTCCGCGACGGAGACGTCGGCCCCGTTTTGGAGGAGGAGCTCCGCCACTTCCAAGTGGCCTTGTTGGCAAGCCAGGATCAGGGCCGTCCTGGGCGAAAGGAAGACAGAACAGATATCAGCTACCAAGACACTGCCTTAAATTAAGGAATAGCTTCCTAAGATCCACAGAGATACTCGCAGGAACACCTCAGCAAGGAAGAGTCCAAAAGTAGCAGGCTAGACAATAGTGAAAGGACCAAGGCAGTGACATCTCCGGCCTATCCTCTGTTTGGATATCAGCTACCAGAACGAAAGGACGAAAGAGTGCGAAGCTGCGGCGAACGAGGCCGATACGAATCTAGGCGGCCTCTATAGGAGCATAGAGTGCCGAGAAGGAAAGAAAGCATAGCCAGGTCTGTCCCGAGCTTTACTCCGATCCATTTGATTTTTAACAGTTCAGACTTAATTCAAGAGCGGATGGAGGATTTGTGTTATTATTCATGTTATTAATTAATAATAATTAATAATTAATAATTACTATTAGCATAGTTATTTTTTTCCTAAACCAGTAGAGGGAGCTCTCCATAATAATAATAATAATAATTGTGTTATTATTCATGTTATTAATTAATTAATAATTAATAATTACTATTAGCATAGTTATTTTTTCCTAAATAAAAAATAAGAGTTCTCCATAATAATAATAATAATAATAATAATAATAATAATAATAATAATGGCGTGTCACGTCTGTTCCGAGTTTTACTCCGAACTTTAAGATCCATTCGACTTAAAGTTCGGACTTAATTCAGGACTGGATGGAGGATTCGTGTTATTATTCATGTTACTATTAATAATAATTAATATGGCTGTATTCAATGGCGTGTCACGTCTGTTCCAAGTTTTACTCCAAACTTTAAGATCCATTTGATTTAAAGTTCGGACTTAATTCAGGAGTGGATAGAGGATTCATATTATTATTCATGTTATTATTAATGATAATTAATACGGCTCTATTCAATGGCGTTTCATGTCTGTTCCGAATTTTACTCCGAACTTTAAGATCCATTTGACTTAAAGTTCGGACTTAATTCAGGAGTGGATAGAGGATCTGTGTTATTATTTGTGTCATTAATAATAATAATGTTAATATATTAGTTAATATAAATAATAGTTAATATAAATATATATAAATAATGTTTCAAATAATCTAAATAAATAATCTAAATATTTAATCATTAATGTAAATAATAGTTAATATATGTAATAAATATTTATCAAATTATATCATGTCATTAATAATAATAATGTTAATATATAAGTTTAAATAATAGTTAATATAAATATATATAAATAATGTTTCAAATAATCTAAATAAATAATCTAAATATTTAATCATTAATGTAAATAATAGTTAATATACGTAAATATAAATATTTATCAAATTTTATCATGTCACTAATAATAATAATAATAATAATAATGTTAATATATTAGTTAATATAAATAATAGTTAATATAAATATATATAAATAATGTTTCAAATAATCTAAATAAATAATCTAAATATTTAATCATTAATGTAAATAATAGTTAACATACGTAAATATAAATATTTATCAAATTATATCGTGTCACTAATAATAATAATAGTGTTAATATATTAGTTAATATAAACTAAATAAATAATATAAACTAAATAAATATATATAGTTAATATAAATAATAGTTAATATAAATATATATAAATAATGTTTCAAATAATCTAAATAAATAATCTAAATATTTAATCATTAATGAAAATAATAGTTAATATATGTAATAAATATTTATCAAATTATATCGTGTTGTTAATAATAATACTAATGTTAATATATTAGTTAATATAAATAATAGTTAATATAAATATATATAAATAATGTTTTAAATAATCTAAATAAATAATCTAAATATTTAATCATTAATGTAAATAATAATAATATACGTAATAAATATTTATCAAATTATATCGTGTCATTAATAATAATAATAATGTTAATATATATTAGTTAATATAAATAATAGTTACTATAAATATGTATAAATAATGTTTCAAATAATCTAAATATTTAATCATTAATGTAAATAATTAAAATCTTAAAAGATGATGCTGTCAAGGTGATGCATGCCATATGCCAGCAAATATGGAAAACACAAGAATGGCCATCAGACTGGAAAAAATCAACTTATATCCCCATACCAAAAAAGGGAAATGCTAAAGACTGCTCAAACTTCCGTACAGTGGCCCTTATTTCTCATGCCAGTAAGGTAATGCTCAAGATCCTGCAAGGAAGCCTCCAGCAATACATGGAGCGAGAGTTGCCAGATGTTCAAGCTGGGTTTAGAAAAGGCAGAGGAACGAGAGACCAGATTGCCAATATCCGCTGGATAATGGAGAAAGGCAGGGAGTTCAGAAAAACATCTACTTCTGCTTCATTGACTATTCTAAAGCCTTTGACTGTGTGGATCATAATAAATTGTGGCAAGTTCTTGGTGGGATGGGCATCCCAAGTCACCTTCCCTCTCTCCTGAGGAATCTGTACAAGGACCAAGTAGCAACAGTCAGAACTGACCACGGAACAACAGACTGGTTCAAGATTGGGAAAGGCGTACGGCAAGGCTGCATCCTCTCACCCAACCTTTTTAACTTGTATGCAGAACACATCATGCGAGGATGTGCGGGGCTTGAGGAAGGCAAAGCTGGGGTGAAAATTGCTGGAAGAAACATTAACAACCTCAGATATGCAGATGACACCACCCTGATGGCCGAAAGCGAGGAGGAGCTGAGGAGCCTTCTAATCAAGGTGAAAGAAGAAAGCGCAAAAGCCGGGTTGCAGCTAAACGTCAAAAAAACCAAGATTATGGCAACAAGAATGATTGACAACTGGAAAATAGAGGGAGAAAACGTGGAGGCCGTGACAGAGTTTGTATTTCTAGGTGCAAAGATTACTGCAGATGCAGACTGTGGCCAGGAAATCAGGAGACGCTTCCTTCTTGGGAGGAGAGCAATGTCCAGTCTCGATAAAATAGTGAAGAGTAGAGACATCAGACTGGCCACAAAGATCCATTGCCTAGTCAAAGCCATGGTATTCCCTGTAGTCACCTACGGATGTGAGAGCTGGACCTTAGGGAAGGCTGAGCGAAGGAAGATCGATGCTTTTGAGCTGTGGTGTTGGAGGAAAGTTCTGAGAGTGCCTTGGACTTGAGAAGATCCAACCAGTCCATCCTCCAGGAAATAAAGCCCGACTGCTCATTGGAGGGAAGGATACTAGAGACAAAGTTGAAGTCTTTGGCCACATCATGAGGAGACAGGAAAGCCTAGAGAAGACAATTATGCTGGGGAAAGTGGAAGGGCAAAAGGAAGAGGGGCCGACCAAGGGCAAGATGGATGGATGGCATCCTTGAAGTGACTGGACTGACCTTGAAGGAGCTGGGGGTGGTGACGGCCGACAGGGAGCTCTGGCGTGGGCTGGTCCATGAGGTCACGAAGAGTCGGAGACGACTGAACGAATGAACAACAACAATGTAAATAATAGTTAATATATGTAATAAATATTTATCAAATTATATATATGTTAATAATAATAATAAAATAGGGTGAACTAAGGAAACTTTGAGCCTCTTGAGTAGTTCCCATAAAGTTTGGATTAAATCCAGGAATGGACGGACTTCAAGGGATTCTGATATTAGCTCGTTGACTAATTCCTCCAAAGTTCGGACTAAACGAAGGAACGAAAGAGACTCACTTCCCTTCTTTCTCGGCGAGGTCGGCCTTGGCGCCTCTTTGGAGCAACTGGGCGCATATGGCGGGCTGGTTTCCTTGCGCGGCGACCATTAAGGGCGTCTGTCCATCCTGCAATAGCAAACGAGAAGATCTGATTAATTAATTAATAATTGTGCGGTTAATTAATTAATTATTAATTAATTTGTTTATTAATTTATTATTAATTATTATAATAATTAATATTATATTAATATTATTATATATTAATAATTATTATTAATAATAAATAATAAATAAATAATAAATAGAAATTAATTAATTAATTGATTATTTTTGATTAATAAATAATTGTCTTCTATCCGTTCCGGGTTTTAGTATGAATTTTAAAGGGAATCTTATGACAGGAAGGATTATATAAGCGCCCTCTAGGGTTGGAAATATTTCTAGGGTCCAAAATCCGCCTAAAGTTCGGACTAAAACCAGGAGCGGACCCCCCAAATGTGAAAATATTATTTTGTGTATACGTTATCCATGACGTCGAGGAAGGCTTCTTGGTCACAAAGGAGCAAGACGCTGGAGGCGCATCCGGACAAGGCTGGGAAAAACAAGACCGTGCATTAGAAATAACAACAATAACAAACAAACAAGAGTAATAATAATAATAATAATAATAATAATAATAATAATAATAATAAATGCATTTAACCATCTCACTCTTGACCACTAGGGGGCCCTATAACAACAACATTTATAACAACAACAACAACAACAACAACAACAACAACAATAATAACCAAAATAACAACAACAACAACATAATAATAATAATAATAACCAAAATAACAACAACAAACAAACAAACAAACAATAATAATAATAATAAATATATCTAACCATCTCACACTTAACCACTAGGGGGCTCTATAACAACAACAATTACAACAACAACAACAACAAAAACAACATGATGATAATAATAATAATAATAACCATCTCCCTATTTACTTTTACTATCACTATTAGTCTTATTACTGTTTTCACTTAATAATATGTTCCTTAACCAGTAGAAGGAGCTCTCCATTATTATTATAATTATAATTATTACTATTACTATCAACATTGTTATTGTTTTCACTTAACAATATACTCCTAAACCAGTAGAGGGACCTCTCGATAATAATAATAATAATAATAATAATAATAATAATAATAATAATAAATGTATTTAACCATCTCACACTTGACCACTAGGCGGCCCTATAACAACAACAGTTACAACAACAAACAAACAAACAAACAAACAACAGTAATAATAATAATAATAATAAATGTATCTAACCATCTCACACTTGACCACTAGGGGGCACTATAACAACAACAGTTACAACAACAACAACAACAAATAACAATAATAATAATAGTAATAAATATATTTAATAATCCCACACTTGACCACTAGGGGGCACTATAACAACAACATTTATAACAACAACAACAAACAAACAAACAAACAACAGTAATAATAATAATAATAATAATAATAATAATAATAATTGTATCTAACCATCTCACACTTGACCACTAGGGGGCACTATAACAACAACAGTTACAACAAAAACAACAACAAATAAACAACAGTAATAATAATAATAGTAATAAATATATTTAATAATCCCACACTTGACCACTAGGGGGCCCTATAACAAAAACATTTATAACAACAACAACAAACAAACAACAACAAACAACAGTAATAATAATAATAATAATAGTAATAAATGTATTTAACCATCTCACACCTGACCACTAGGGGGCACTATAACAACAACTGTTACAACAACAACAACAACAACAAATAACAATAATAACAATAATAGTAATAAATATATTTAATAATCCCACACTTGACCACTAGGGGGAACTATAACAACAACAGTTACAACAACAACAACAACAACAACAAATAACAATAATAACAATAACAATAATAATAATAATAATAATAATAGTAATAAATATATTTAATAATCCCACACTTGACCACTAGGGGGAACTATAACAACAACAGTTACAACAACAACTATTATTATTATTATTATTATTATTATTATTATTATTATTATTAACCTAGCAATATCTTTATTGACCATTAGAGGGCACAATCTATATTATTATTACATTTATTATTATTATTATTATTATTATTATTATTATTATTATTATTATTATTATCTCAATGGGTTTTCCAAACTCACCTGCCCAATGGAGGGGCGTTCGGTTTTCCCCGTCGACGCAGTCTTCGTTGGCTCCGTACTGCAAAATATATTTGAATATATATATATATGTGTGTGTGTGTATGTATGTATGTGTGTGTATATAGCCAATTATGGGATTCGAAGCCCAAATTCAGCAAATAATAATAATAATAATAATATTTACCTGCAGCAGGACTTTGACGCATTGAGGTTGGCAGGCGATGGTGGCCAGATGCAAGGCTGTGCTGCCTAGTGGGAAAAGAAAGACATATCACAATTACAATAATGTCATATAATAATAACAATATTATTATTATTATAAGAATATAAAATAATGTAATCTAATAATATTAATAAGGAAATAATAATAATAATAATAATAATAATAATAATAATAATAATAATAATAATAGGAGTGGACTACATGGACTCTGGGGTGCCCCCGGGTCCAAATAATCTATATATATAAATTTGTTAGGGGCATCCAACGAGGAAACAAAACTCAAAAACCCCCCAACGAAACTTAACCAAAATTCCCATGCCCATAACACAACCCACAAGGTACAAACATATCTACTCAAAATGAAAAACAACACAACAACACACTCACAAAACGGCAAAACAACAGAACTAAAAAAACCCCAACAAAACTTAACCAAAATTCCCATGCCCATAACACAACCTACAAGGTACAAACATATCTACTCAAAATGAAAAACAACACAACAACACACTCACAAAACGGCAAAACAACAAAACTCAAAACCCCAACGAAACTTAACCAAAATTCCCATGCCCATAACACAACCCACAAGGTACAAACATATCTACTCAAAATGAAAAACAACACAACAACACACTCACAAAACGGCAAAAGGATAAAACTCTAAAAAAAACCAACGAAACTTAACCAAAATTCCCATGCTCATAACACAACCCACAAGGTACAAACATATTACTCAAAATGAAAAACAACACAACAACACACTCAAAACGGCAAAAAAACAAAACTCAAAAAACCCCCAACGAAACTTAACCAAAATTCCCATGCCCATAACACAACCCACAAGGTACAAACGTATCTACTCAAAATGAAAAACAACACAACAACACACTCACAAAACGGCAAAACAACTGAGCATGCGCATTGGCGCCCAGCCGCAAGTTCCCTGGCGCGCGCACATGCCCTTCCGGCCAACGTTCCCTCTGCGGAAACCATGCCCACTCCAAGCCCCGCCGCGCCGCTTCCCGCACACACACACACCCCTGCCGCACAACACACAACCCCACACTCCATCACTCCCCCCGCCGCCGCACACACACACGCAACCCCACTCCCCCCCCCCCCGCCGCACACACACACGCAACCCCACGCTCCATCACCCCCCGCGCCACACACACACGCAACCCCACGATCACTCCCCCCGCCGCCGCACACACACACAACCCCACGCTCCATCACCCCCCCACCCCAATCTTACCTCCTTTTACTTCACGCCACCTCCAAACCCCACCCCGCCCCTTCCCGCCCTGTCAAAATCTAGGAAAGACAGGAAGGAAGGAAAGAAGGAAGAAAGAGAAAGGGAGGTAAAGAAAAAGGGGGAAGGAAGGAAAGTTAGAGAAAGAAGAAGAAGAAAAGGAAAGAAAAGGAAAGATGGAAGGAAAGAAAAGAGAGACAGCAGAAGAGAAAGAAAAAGGGGGAAGGAAGGAAAGAGGTAGAGAAGGAAGAAAAGAGACATAGGAGGGAAGGAGGAAGGAAGGAAGGAAGGAAGGAAAGAAGGAGAGAAAGAGGGAAGATTGGCCACAGCAACACGTGGCGGGTAAAGGTTGTTATTTCTATTCTATTATTATTATTATTATTATTATTATTATTATTATTATTATTATGATGATGCTATTGTTCCTATGAGACCCTTTTAGGGGGAATGGGAGAGGTGTCAGGTCCCAGAGGCAATGCATTGCATTATTGTTATTGTTATGATGGTGGTGAAATAAAAGGAAATAAAAAGTGAAAGAAGGAAGCAAACAAGGAGGGAAGAAAGGCAAAGGAAGAAAGGGGGAGGGAATGAAGGAAAGAGAGAAGGATGAAACCAAGTAGAGAAAGAAGGAAAGAGAAAGGAGAGAAAGGGGGAGGAAAAGGGGGAAGGAATAGGTAGGTCCCTCTCTTTCATAATAGTCCAGATATCTACCTCAACTTTGATAAGTTTTACTATAGGCCACAGCAACGCGTGGCAGGGCACAGCTAGTAGAAATATAACAACAACAACAGCAATTATTTATTTATTTATTTATTAACTGCACTTGTAGACCGCCGTTCTCAGCCCTAGGGCGACTCACGGCGGTGTACAACATATAAAAAACACTTTACCATAAGGCAATTACACAAACAACAACAACATCACTATTAATACTACAATTAAACTAAATCATTCGCGACGTCTCATCGTAGAATCACAATCCAATCTCGTTTTCCATATTCCGTTCCAATCATCATTGCCAATTGTCGAAGCACTTAATCAAACGCCTTCTCAAAGAACCACGTCTTTAGTTTCTTACGGAATGTCATGAGGGAGGGCGCCTGTCTGATGTCTACAGGGAGGGTGCTCCATAGCCGGGGGGCCACCACGGAGAAGGCCCTATCCCTCGTCCCCGCCAGACGCGCCTGTGAGGCAGGCGGGATCGAGAGAAGGGCCTCCCCAGACGATCTCAAAGTCCTCGTGGGCTCATAGGCCGAGATGCGGTTTGACAGGTATTTTGGGCCAGAACCGTTTAGGGCTTTGTAGGCCAGCACCAGCACCTTGAATTGGGCCCGGTAGCAGATCGGCAGCCAATGGAGCTGGAACAACAAGGGAGTTGTGTGCTCCCTGCGTCCCGCTCCTGTTAGTAACATGGCTGCCGCGCGCTGGACTAGCTGGAGCTTCCGGGCCGTCTTCAAGGGCAGCCCCACGTAGAGAGCGTTGCAGTAGTCAAGGCGGGATGTGACCAGAGCGTGTACTACCGTGGCCAAGTCAGACTTCCCAAGGTACGGGCGCAGCTGGCGCACGAGCCTAAGCTGTGCAAATGCTCCCCTGGTCACCACTGAAACCTGGGGATCCAGGCTCAGCGACGAATCCAGGGTCATACCCAAGCTGCGAACCTGCGCCTTCAAGGGGAGTGCGACCCCATCCAACACAGGCTGTAACCCTATACCCTGTTCGGCCTTGCGACTGACCAGGAGGACCTCTGTCTTGTCTGGATTCAATTTCAATTTGTTCGCCCTCATCCAGACCGTCACAGCGGCCAAGCACCGGTTCAGGACCTGGACAGCCTCCTTAGTAGTGGGTGGAAAGGAGTGACAGAGTTGGACGTCATCTGCGTACAGATAACACCTCACCCCGAAACTCCGGATGATCTCTCCCAACGGCTTCATGTAGATATTAAATAACATGGGGGACAGTACAGAGCCCTGTGGAACCCCACAAGTCAAAGGCTGTGGCGTAGAACAGGTGTCCCCCAATAACACCTTCTGGGTGCGGCCCTCCAGAAATGACCGGAGCCACTGCAGAACAGTGCCCCCAAGACCCATTTCCGCAAGGCGCCCCAGAAGGATACCGTGGTCGACGGTATCGAAGGCCGCTGAGAGGTCCAGGAGCACCAACAGGGACACACTCCCCCTGTCTAGCTCCCGGCGCCGATCATCCACTAAGGCGACCAAGACCGTCTCGGTTCCATGTCCCGGTCTGAAACCAGACTGTGCCGAATCCAGATAATCCGTGTCTCTCAAGAATACCTGGAGTTGTGAGGCCACCACACTTTCCATGACTTTGCCCAAAAAGGGAAGATTGGAAACAGGCCGAAAGTTGTCAAATTTGGTGGGGTCCAGTGATGGTTTTTTCAACAGCGGTTTTATAATAGCTTGTTTTAAGCTCGCTGGAATCTCGCCATCCCGAAGGGAGGCGTTAACCACCACCGTTACCCACTCAGCCAATCCCCCTCTGGCCTCCCTCAGAAGCCAGGATGGGCAGGGGTCTAGGATGGACGTGGTAGGCCTCATTCCTCCAAGTATCTTGTCCACATCCTCGGGCTTCACAAATTGAAAAGAATCCATCAAAATAGGACAAGCAGGTGCTCGTGTCACATCCTCAGAGACTGCATTTAACATGGTGTCCAGCCCAGAACGGATCAAAGCGACTTTGTCTGCAAAGAACCGAGCAAATGCTTCGCAGCGTGTGGCCGAATTGTCAGGGCTCCCGTCTGAGGTGGCGGGAGTTAAAAGACCTCTGACAATCCGGAACAGCTCCGCCGGACGGTTCTTTGCAGACGCAATAGTAGCCGCAAAGAAAGCAACAATGTAGTTCACCTGCATCCAGAGCACACTGTGCTTCAGGAAAGGCAGAAGCTGCACATCGCAAGTGCTGAACCTGACTCAGCACATAGAAGATGGCTTTGAAAGGCAGCAGATCACCGGAGCCAGTATTAAAAAACTCTAAAATTAGAACAGCACAACAACAGAGAGGAAACAAACAAGGACATCTAATCACCTCTCAACAAAAGATTGCTCCAGGCACAGCCAGGCCATTATATGCTAATCAAGGTGGTCAGTTGAAACATTCACATCTAGTTCCAGCAGACAAGAGTCCTTTGTCCCACCCTGGTCATTCTATGGATATATAAACCCATTTTCCTACTTCCAACAGACCTCACTACCTCTGAGGATGCTTGCCATAGATGCAGGCGAAACGTCAGGAGAGAATGCCTCTAGAATATGGCCATATAGCGTGAAAAAACCTACAACAACCCAGTGATTCCGGCCATGAAAGCCTTCGACAATATAATGTAATAATAATACTATTATGGGACAGGCTCACCATCATCGTTTGTGTCGTTGACTTCGGCCCCGTTCGTCAGGAGGATGGTGAGGCATTCGGTGAGGCCTTTGGAGGCCGCCAAGTGGAACCTAGGCGAGAAGGAGATCGAAGACAATAGTAAACCTATAGTAATAATAATGTAACGCCCAATGCAAAACTCAGTCTACGGGAAGGGGGTACGTACGCCGACTGGCCGAGCGCATTGAGTTTGGTGGGCTTGGCCGCCTTCTTGGCCATCAGGGCCGAGACCCTCCCCACGTCCCCCTTTTCCACGGCATCGAGGAGCTTCTGGTCCTGCTTGTTCCAACTCTCGAACTGCAGAGAGAAGGCAAACAAGGAGAGATCTTACTCTCAGGAAGAGAAAATAGGTAGAATACAGGGAAAAGGCTGCATTCGATAGCTCTCAGGCCCACCTGCAAGGGAGACATCAGCACCATATCGTCAGCGTAGAGAAGGAAATTAATTGCCAATCGTCGACATATGGTGTCAGGTAGAAAATGATGCATTAGAGAGAAATGATGCATTAGATAGAAATAATAATAATAATAATAATAATAATAATAATAACAACAACGGAAAAGGATGCCTTCGATAGCTGTCTCAGGCCCACCTGCGAGGGAGACATCAGCACCATATTGTCAGCGTAGAGAAGGAAATTAATGGCCTATCGTCGACATATGGTGCCAGGTAGAAAATGATGCATTAGATAGAAATGATGCATTAGATAGAAATATTAATAATAATAATAACGGATAATAATATGAGTAATTGCAAATAATAATAATAATATGATAGTAATTGCAAATAATAATAATGAATAATAATATGATAGTAACTGTAAATAATAATAATAATAATAATAATTGATAATAATAGAAAATAATATGATAATAATTGCAAATAATAATAATAATAATAATAATAATAATGAATAATAGTATGATGGTAATTGCAAATAATAATAATAATGGATAATAATATAATATTAATTGCAAATAATAATAATATATTAATTTCAAATGATAATAATAATAATGAATAATAATATGATCGGAATTGCAAATAATAATAACATTAATAATGAATAGTAATATGATAGTAATTGCAAATCATAATAATGGAGAATAATATAATATTAATTGCCAATAATAATAATAATAATAATAATAATAATAATGAATAACAATATGATAGTAATTGCAAATAAAAATAAAAATAATGATAGTAATTACAAGTAATAATAATAGTAATAATGAATAATAATGATAGTAATTGCAAGTAACAACAATAATAATATGATAGTAATTGCAAATAATAATAATAATGGATAATATAATATTAATTGCAAATAATAATAAGATATTAATTTCAAATGATAATAATAACAATAATAATGAATAATAATATAATATTAATTGCAAATAATAATAATAATAATGAATAATAATATTATAGTAATTGCAAATAATAATAATGAATAACAATATGATAGTAATTGCAAATAATAATAATAATAATATGATAGTAATTTCAAATAATAATAATGGAGAATAATATAATATTAATTGCAAATAATAATAATAATAATGAAGAATAATATGATAGTAATTGCAAATAATAATAATATAGTAATTGCAAATAATAATAATAATAATAATAATAATAATATGATAGTAATTGCAAATAATAATAATGGATAATAATATGACAGTAATTGCAAATATGATAGTAATTGCAAATAATAATAGTAATAATAATAATGGATAATATAATATTAATTGCAAATAATAATAATAATGGATAGTAATAATAATAATAATATGAAAATGATTGTAAAAAGGGAAGGCAGTCAATCCGGTTGGGGAGGCGTCCCGCCCCGAGAGGCGCCGTACGAGGATCTTTCACAAGGACCACACAACACACAAACACACCGGGTTGCACAATCCCTCTGGGAAAGGGAAGCTGGTGCAAAGCCCCGAGGCCGCTCCTTTCCGAGCCTGGGAACGTTGTTCCCCGGAATTAGTCATGATGCTGAAGTTACGGCCCATCACTGCAAACATACATACATACATACATACATATATATATGCAGTCAATATAAGTGATGACTATGTTTCACAAGTCAATACAAAGTCAATGGAGTAGAGTATGAGGCCTGTCACTTTAAGAGGAACTCTCAAGCAACCAGAAAATGACATGGATGCAATCTAGGTGCTGGTTAATGGAGAGCCTACTGTATATATCAAAGAGCAAAAGAACCAAAGAAGAAAGAAGGAAAGGGTGAAAGAACAAAAGAGCGAAAGAAGGAAAGAAAGAGCAAAAGAAAGAAAGAAAGAAAGAAATAGTGAAAGAACAAAAGAATGGAAGAACAACAGAGCAAAAGAAAGAAAGAAAGGTTGAAAGAAGAGCAGAAGAATGAAAGAAGGAAAAATTGAAAGTGTGAAAGAAGGAAAGAGCGAAAGAAGGAAGGAAGGAAGGAAGGAACAAATGAAGGAAAGAAGGAAAGAGAGAAAGAAGGAAGGAAGGAAAGAAAAAAAAGAAGGAAAGAAGGAATGAACAAATGAAGGAAAGAAGGAAAGAGAGAAAGAAGGCAGGAATGAACAAATGAAGGAAAGAAGAAAAGAAGGAAAGAGAGAAAGAAGGAATGAACAAATGAAGGAAAGAAGGAATGAGAGAAAGAAGGAAGGAAAGAAAGATGGAAGGAAAGAAAGGTTGAAAGAAGAGCAGAACAGCAGAAGAATAAAAGAAGGAAAAATTGAGAGTGAAAGAAGAAAAGAAGGAAAGAGAGAAAGAAGGAAGGAAGGAATAAACGAATGAAGAAGGAAAGAGAGAAGGAAGGAAGGAATGAACAAATGAAGAAAAGAAGAAAAGAAAGAAAAAGAGAAAGAAGGAATGAATGAATGAACGAATGAAGGAAAGAAGGAAAGAAAAAAGAAGGAAAGAGTGAAGGGAGGAAGGAATGAAAGAACAAATGAAGGAAAGAAGCAAAGAAGGAAAGAGAGAAAGAAGGAAGGAAAGAAAGAATGAATGAAAGAAGGAAAGAGTGAAAGAAGGAAAGAAGGAAATAAAAAAAGAAGGAAAGAGTGAAGGGAGGAAGAAATGAAAGAACAAAAGAAAAAAGAGCAAAAGGATGAAAGAAAGAACGAAAGAGCAAAAGAAGGAAAGAGTGAAAGAACGAAAGAACGGAAGAACAACAGAGCAAAAGAAGGAAAGAAAGGCTGAAAGAAGGAAAGAATGAAAAAAACAAAGAGCAGAAGAATGAAAAGGAAAGAACGAAAGAACGAATGACAGAAGGAAAGAAGAGCAAAAGAATAGAGGAGCAGAAGAGAGAGCAGTCCTGTGTGACTCACAGCCACTTGGTTGCTGGAGCAGGAGAACATCTTCTTCATGGTGGCCGAGAGCGGTTCCGTCCCTCCTTGGGGAAGCCTTGGGTTCGAATGCCCCGCATCCCAACGGAGCCGCTCTGGATCCGAGCCTGGAACGCTCCGCTCTCCTTTGCCCCACCTGTTTCCCAGGATGGGAACTCGCTCCGTCTCAACTTGCCCTGCGTTTTTGCCTCCAGACTTTGTGCAATGCGTTCTCCTTTCCCCTTCCTTCTCTCGGCACGGTTTAAAGGTCAGGGTGGCTTCTCTTGCACGAAACCCTGGACAGTGGTCAGTTCTAGAATCCACAACCAGTATATTATTCCTTAAAGCAGGTCTGGTCACACTTTGGCCCTCCAGCGTTTTGGACTTCAACTCACACAATTCCGTAATTCGTTGCCAATGTGGAAATGCATTGTTTTTGTTGTTGTTGTTGTTGTTATTATTATTATTATATTATTATTATATTATATTATATTATTATATTGTGAGTCGCCCCCGGGCTGAGAACAGCGGTATATAAGCAAAGTAAATAAATAAATTATTATTATTATTATTATTATTATTATTATTATTATTATTATTATTATGAATGTGTCCACCTGAGGTAAGGAGATCAGGACAGAATAGGGCTGTTGGTGTACCAACCACCCCGCTGCACCACGGCCATCCTACCTGAGTTTGCAGAGTTGGTCTCGGGCCTGGCATTGGAGTCCCGGCGGCTTGTAGTGCTGGGGGACTTCAATGTTAGGGCTGGGCAGTTTCGTTCGTTAATTTCGTCATTCGTTATTAATTTGTTATTTTTTTTATAACGAAGCGATATTGAACCATTCAGGAGCAACTAAAAATCGAAACGAATTTTTAAAATTTATTTCGTAATTGTTTCGTAATTGTTTCGTAATTGTTTCGTTATTATTTCGTTATTATTTCCGTATGTCTGGTGCTAGTTTTATGGTTGTTGTTTGTTTTATCAGTGATAAAAAAAAATTATCACACCAACAGTCAACAACAGAGGGAGAGGGAAGCTTCAGAAGTTCCCCCTGTCCCATTTGGAGGGTTTTTTAGCGTATTGCGCAATCGCGTCCTCCATTAACGAATCAATTCGAAATTTACGAAATTTCGTAAATAACGAAAAAATTTTAAAGAAAAAATCGGAATTCATTTACAAAATGAAACGCAATGGACCCCCTAAAAATGAAACGAGTTTAGAAACAAATTTTTCCGTTGTTACCCAGGCCTGTTGTTCGTATACCGACCACCCCGCTGCACCACGGCCACCCTACCTGAGCTTGCAGAGTTGGTCTCAGGCCTGGCATTGGAGTCCCGGTGGCTTGTAGTGCTGGGGAACTTCAATGTCCATGCAGAGTCCACTCTTTCAGGAGCGGCTCAGGACTTCATGGCTGCCATGGCAACTATGGGGCTGTCCCAATTAATATCTGGCCCTACCCACTGTGCTGGACACACACTTGACTTGGTCTTCTGTCAGGGCTGGGAAGAAGGTGGCGGTGTGGAGGAGTTGTCAATCTCTCCTTTGCCGTGGACTGACCACCACCTGATCAGGTTTAGACTGGCTGCAACTTCTAACCTTCGCAGGGGTGGTGGACCCATTAAGATGGTCCGCCCCAGGAGGCTTATGGATCCAGAAGGACTCCTGATGGCTCTTGGGGATGTTTCCGCTGCCTTGGATGGTGATTCTGTCGATGCCCTGGTCGCTCACTGTGCGCCAGCTGCGCCCGTACCTTGGGAAGTCTTACTTGGCTGATTTTGTCATTTGGGAGTTGTAGTTGCTGGGATTTATAGTTTACCTAGAATCAAAGAGCATTCTGAATTCCACCAACGATGGCATTGAACCAAACTTGGCACACAGAACTCCCATGACCAACAGAAAATACTGGAAGGGTTTGGTGGGCATTGACAGAGGTACTCCTGGTCAGTCGTAAGACCGAACAGGGTACGGGGTTACGGCCTGTGCTGGACGGGGTCACACTCCCCCTGAAAGCACAGGTACGCAGTCTGGGAGTTCTCCTAGACTCATCGCTGAGCCTGGAACCCCAGGTTTCGGCGGTGATCAGGGGAGCTTTCGCACAACTAAAACTTGTACCTTGGGAAGTCTGACTTGGCCACGGTAGTCCACGCTTTGGTTACATCCCGTTTAGATTACTGCAACGCTCCCTATGTGGGGTTGCCTCTGAAGACTGCCCGGAAGCTGCAGCTAGTCCAACGCTCGGCAGCCAGACTACTAACGGATGCTGGGTACAGGGAGCACACCACTCCGCTGTTACACCAGCTCCACTGGCTGCCAATTCGCTTCTGAGCACAATTCAAAGTGCTGGTGTTAACCTATAAAGCCCTAAACGACTCCGGCCCTGTTTACCTCTCCGAACGTATTCTCCCCTACGTACCATCAAGATTATTAAGATCGTCTGGGGGGGCCCTGCTCTCGGTCCCACCGGCCTCGCAAGCGCGTCTGGTGGGGACGAGGGACAGGGCCTTCTCAGTGGTGGCCCCTCGACTCTGGAACTCTCTCCCACTGGAGATCAGAACCGCCCCTTCTATCCTGACATTCAGGAAGCAGGTGAAGACGTGGTTATGGAGACAGGCATTCGACGAGTGAGCCAACACCCTGAGGTGGATGGAGGATGATGAGCAAAGATTTTAGTGTGACGACTTACCATTGTATTTATTGAATGTAATTGCTGTTTTAATGTTTTATTGCAATATGTATTATGATGTTTTATTGACTATATGTGATATTATGGTTGGAAACCGGTCTGAGTCCCTCAAGAGAGGTGAGAAGGTCGGTATATAAAATTTTTAAATAATAAATAAATAAATAAATAAATAAATAAATAAATAAATATTATTATCAGATTAGATACACAACAGGCAGATGGTGTTTGAGCAATGGTGTTGTGCCTCTGCTTGGAGTCCGTCTGCGCCATCTTCTTGCAGCAGCGGAGGATATTGTCCATCATTTCTCCTGCTTCCTTGCAGAGCCTACACTTGGGATCTGTCCAATACTGGAAGGGTTTGGTGGGCATTGACCTTGGGTTGGGAGTTGTAGTTCACCTCCATCCAGAGACTCAAACAATTATGGATCTGGACCAAACTTGGCATGGATACTCAGTATGCCCAAATGTGAACACCGGTGGAGTTTGGGGGAAATAGAACTTGCCATTTGGGAGTTGTAGTTGCTGGGATTTATAGTTCGCCTACAATCAAAGAGCATTCTGAACCCCACCAGGGATAGAATTTTGGGCCAGACTTCCCACACAGAACCTCCCTCCAGCCTCACATGCTCTCCCTCGCTTGCACATGTGCTGAGCACGCCTGCTCTCCCCTCCCTGCTTGGAGCCCTCCCCGTGGCTGAGAGGCCGGCCAATCACAGCGGAGGAGAGTTTTTGGTGAAAGGATTCCCTCTGGCGGAGAGAACGTCATCCTTCTCTGTCAAAGGGGTTCCTCAGACCACCAGAAATATGTGCGACCCTTTGGAACTCACGTGCGACCCCTCCGGTGGCCGCGAACCCCAAGTTGAGAAACACTGAGATGTTTTGCAACCTAACATTCTGCTTTACAGAATGGGGTTGGACTGGATGGCCTTTGGGGTTCCCTTTAGTGGAATACAGACTGCCTTGAAGTTAGACTGGGTGGCCTTTGAAGACCCTTTCCAACTATGAATTATTATTATTATTATTATTATTATTATTATTAGTCTTGTTTGGCAAAAGGGGGTTGGACTGGATAGCCTTTGGAGACCCTTTCCAACTATGAATTATTATTATTATTATTATTATTATTATTATTAGTCTTGTTTTGCAAAAGCGGGTTGGACTGGATGGCCTTTGGGGACCCCTTCCAACTATGAATTATTATTATTATTATTATTATTATTATTATTATTATTATTATTGTTTTGCAGAAGGGGGTTGGTCTGGATGGCCTTTGTGGGTCCCTTCTGAATTTATGAATAATAATAATAATAATAATAATAATAGGTAATAGTCATTGTACCACCCTGCTTTGCAAAAGGGGGTTGGCCTGGATGGCATTTGGGGTCCCTTCCAACTATTATTATTATTAATAGTAATAATGGATAATAATTTAATATGAATTTAATAATAATAATAATAATAATAATAATAATAATAATAAAATAGTGGGGTTGGACTAGATGGCTTTTGGGTTTCACTTCCAACTCTATGAATATAATACTACTACTACTACTACTACTAATAATAATAATAATATAATTGTATAATAATAATAATAATAATAGTAATAATGGACAATAATTTAATATGAATTTAATAATAATAATAAATAATATAATAGTGGGGATGGACTAGATGGCCTTTGGGGTTCCCTTCCAACTCTATGAATATACTACTATTACTACTACTACTAATAATAATTTATTTATTTATTTATTTACTTTATTTGTATACTGCTGTTCTCAGCCCTTAGGCGACTTATAATAATGGATAATAATAATATAATAATAATAATGGATAATAATGTAATATGAATTGTACGATGATGATGATAATAATAATAATAATAACAACAATAATAATGGATAATAATGTAATATGAATTTAATAATAATAATATAATAGTGGGGTTGGACTAGATGCCCTTTGGGGTTCCCTTCCAACCCCAAATAATGGGTAATAATGTAATATGAATTGCATAATAATAATAATAATAATAATAATAATAATAGTAGTAATAATGGATAATAATGTAATATAATTGTATAATAATAATAATAATAATAATAATGGATAATAATATTATAGTGGGGTTGGACTAGATGCCCTTTGGGGTTCCCTTCCAACCCCAAATAATGGGTAATAATGTAATATGAATTGTATAATAATGATAATGATAATAATAATAATAATAATAATAATGGATAATAATATAATAGTGGGGTTGGACTAGATGGCCTTGTGGGTTCCCTTCCAACTCTATGAATCATAATAATAATAATGAATAATTTAATATGAATAGAATAATAATAATAATAATAATAATAATAATAATAATAATAGATAATGGATAATAATGGATAATAATATGATAGTGGGGTTGGGCTGGATGGCCTTGTGGATTCCCTTCCAACTCAATGAATAATAATAATAATAATAATAATAATAATAATAATAATAATAATAATAATGATGAATATTTAATATGAATAGAATAATAATAATAATAATAATAATAATAATGGATAATAATATGATAGTGGGGTTGGGCTGGATGGCCTTTGGGGACCCCTTCCTTCTGGAGGAGCCCATGTGCAGGCCAATGGGGGCCAATGGGGGCGGGCTCGGGCCATTCGCCTCCACCCACCCGTCCGTCCGTCCGTCCACCCACCCGTCCACTTTTGCCATGGGATGTCCGGCAAAGGCAAAGGGTCTCTGCGCCCGCTTCCTTGGCTTCGGGATCCTCCTCCTCCTCGGCTGTGGGACAGGTAGGGACCCCTTCCCTTCCCACCTGCTTGCTTCACTTTGAATGCGGAATATCAATCAATCAATCAATCAATCAATCAATTTATCTATATGGGTCAAGCGTCCCTATTCCAAAAGCTCAGGACGCATACATGTTTTGGATTTTGGATTATTCATTTTACTATTCTATTAAATTATTATTATTATTATTATTATTATTATTATTATTATTATTATTATATTCTTATTAATATTGTTCCATTATTATTTTATATTACTTTACATTATTATTATTATTATTATTATTATCATCAATACTATTATTATATTACACTATTATTATTGCATTATATTATTCTTATTAATTAATACTATTATATTACATTATTATTATTGTTATTATTATTATTATAGATTATTTATTGTGATTAATACTATTGTATTACATTATTATTGATATTAATATATTACATTATTATTGTTATTATTATTATTATTATTATACATTATCTTATTGTGATAAATACTATTATATTACATTGTTATTGATATTATATTACATTGCATTATATTATTATTATTATTATAGATTATTATCTTATTGTGATTAATACTATTATGTTACATTATTATTTATATTATTATTATTATTATTATTATAGATTATTATCTTATTGGTATTTAATACTATTATATTACATTGTTATTGATATTATTATATTACATTGCATTATATTATTATTATAGATTATTATCTTATTGTGATTAATACTATTATGTTACATTATTATTTATATTATTATTATTATAGATTATTATCTTATTGGTATTTAATACTATTATATTACATTGCATCACATTATTATTGTTATTATTATTATTATTATTATTATATATTATTATCTTATTTTGATTAATAATATTATGTTACATTCTTAAAGCAATGTATGTAATATTAGGTGATTGAGTTATTTGCCGGAGTCTTCTGCCCCGCCGGGTCCTCCTTCCCAATTAGCGCCAATTATCCTTGACGAGCGATGCCACTCCCCCCCCCCCCCCCAATTAGTGCATTTTCTGGCCTGGGAAGGCATCCGAGGGGCCGTTCCCATTGAGGTCAATGCAAAACATCTCTTTCATGGAGAGACAGACACAAAGAAGCATTGTCTGGGTCCCAAGGTCTGGTCAACTCCAAAGCTTTTGGAAGTTATACTCCGAATTTGCACTCAGACATGAGTCCCTGAGGTAGAGCAACCCAGAACGTAAGACTCCGAAACAGTTACCTAGAACCTCAAGCTCACTGAAGTAGATGGACCCAAATGGTGAGGCTCCCAGGGGGTGAGACTCCAAAACAGTTACTTAGAACTAAATGAAGTTGAGTGGACCAGAACGTAAGACTCCAAAATAGAGTTACCTAGAACCTCAAACTCACTGAAGTAGAGGGACCCAGGTGGTGAGGCTCCCAGGTGGTAAGGCTCCAAAACAGTTACCTAGAACTCAATGAAGTAGAGTGGACCAGAATGTAAGACTCCAAAATAGAGTTACCTAGAACCTCAAACTCTCTGAAGTAAAGGGACCCAGACGGTCAGGCTCCCAGGTGGTGAGGCTCCGAAACATTTACCTAGAACTCAATGAAGTAGAGTGGACCAGAATGTAAGACTCAAAAATAGAGTTACCTAGAACCTCAAACTCACTGAAGTAGAGGGACCCAGGTGGTGAGGCTCCCAGGTGGTGAGGCTCCAAAACAGTTACCTAGAACTCAAGGAAGTTGTGTGGACCAGAATGCAAGATTCCAAAATAGAGTTATCTAGAACCTCAAACTCTCTGAAGTAAAGGGACCCAGATGGTGAGGCTCCCAGGTGGTGAGGCTCCAAAAGAGTTACCTAGAACTCAACAAAGTTGAGCGGACCAGAACGTAAGACTCCAAAATAGTTACCTAGAACCTCAAACTCTCTGAAGTAGAGGGACCCAGACGGTGAGGCTCCCAGACGGTGAGGCTTCAAAACATTTACCTAGAACTCAATGAAGTTGAGTGGACCAGAACATGACTCCAAAACAGAGTTACCTAGAACTTCAAACTCACTGAAGTAGAGAGACCCAGATGGTGAGGCTCCCAGATGGTGAGGCTCCAACACAGTTATCTAGAACTCAATGAAGTAGCATGGATGAGAATGCAAAACTCCAAAATAGTTACCTAGAACCCAGAAGATTCCCTAGAAAGGAGCACCAAAACAAATTAGATGTAGAAGTATACCAACAATAGAGCTACCTAGAACTTGGAACCAAAATCAAACCCAACAGTAGAGTTATTCTGAAGTTGGACCCAAAACTTGAGCACAAAAATGTGGGCTACCTGGAAGCTATGCCCAAAAATCAACCTGAGAATAGAACCAATAAGAAACTAGAACCAGCAGTAGAACTACTTAGAACCTAGACCCAATAGTAAAGTTATCTAGGATATAGACTCCAAATTAGAGCATGAAACTCTATTTGGAAATTGGACTTAAAATTAGAACCAACCAGAAACTAGACCTCACAGTAGAGCTAGCCCTATAACTTTTGAACCAGCATCACAACCAGCAGTAGAGTTATCCAGAACTGAAATGAGAACATGAAAGCATGGGCTACCTGGAAGTTACACCCAAAATTAGACCGAAAAGGAGACCCAATGAGAAATTAGACCCAACAGTAGAGCTGTCTAGAACGCAGACCCCAATGAAGAGTGAGCTAGAACCCAGATGAGAAAATACATCTGGTTTTTATTATGGTTCCCCTGCAGCGTCGTTGGCGGTGAGGGTCTCGGTGGCGGCCAGCAGCATCCAGGTGGTCCGAGGGGGCAGCGCCCTCCTGCCTTGCTCCTTCCAGACCACGGCTCCGCTTGACCGGCTCAACATCATCTGGACTGTGGACCCGTCTTCGGACCCCGGGAGACCCCAGCAGGTGAGCCCCAACTGAATCCATTCCACAGAGAGGTAGAAAGAAAGATAGATAGATAGAGGGATAGGTAGATCAAAGGATAGACAGATAGAGAGATATAAAGGAACATATAGAAAGAGATAGAAAGATAAATAGATAGATACAGACAGATCAATAGAAAGATAGATCAAAGGATACATAGATAGAAAGAAAGACAAATAGATCAAAAGACAGATGGATAGACAGAAGGAGGTATGGATGGATAGATGGATGGATAGAAGGATTTATGGATGGATAGATGAATGGAGAGAAGGATGGATGGATAGATGGATGGACAGATGGATGGATGGATAGAAGGATTTATGGATGGATAGATGAATGGAGAGAAGGATGTATGGATGGATGGATGTATGGATGGATTGATGGAAGGATGTATGTATGGATGTATGGATGGATGTATGGATGGATAGAAGGATGGGTGGATAGAAGGATGGATGTATGGATGGATAGAAGGATGTATGGATGGATAGAAGGATGTATGGATGTATGGATGGATAGAAGATAGATAGATAGATAGATCGATGGACGGATAGAGATAGATAGAAAGATGGATGGATGAATGGATAGATAGATAGAAGGATGGATGGATGGGTAGAAGGATGTATGGATGGATAGATAGAAGGATGGATGGACGGACGGATGGAAAGATAGAAAGAAGGATGGATGGATGGATGGATGGATAGATAGAAAGATGGATGGATGAACGGATAGATAGATAGAAGGATGGATGGATGGGTAGAAGGATGTATGGATGGATAGATAGAAGGATGGATAGATGGATGGATGGAGAGATAGAAGGATGGATGGACGGACGGATGGAAAGATAGAAAGAAGGATGGATGGATGGACGGATGGATAGATAGAATGATGGATGGATGGAGGGATGGATAGAAAGAAGGATGGATGGATGGACAGATGGATAGATAGAAAGATGTATGGATGAACGGATAGATAGATAGAAGGATGGATGGATGGATGGGTAGAAGGATGTATGGATGGATAGAAGGATGGATAGATGGACGGATGGATAGATAGAAGGATGGATGGACGGACGGATGGATAGATAGAAGGATGGATGGATGGACAGATGGAAAGATAGAAAGAAGGATGGATGGATGGACGGATGGATAGATAGAAGAATGGATGGATGGACGGATGGATAGAAAGAAGGATGGATGGATGGACAGACGGATGGGTAGATAGAAGGATCGATGGATAGATAGAAAGATGGATGGATGAATGGATAGATAGAAAGAAGGATGGATGGATGGATGGATGGATAGATAGAAGGATGGATGGACGGACGGACGGATGGATAGATAGGATGGATGGACAGATGGATAGATAGATGAACGGAAAGAAGGAAGGAAGGCTAGATAGATGATAGACCAGACACGGGCCAACTTTGGTCCTCCGGGTGTTTTGGACTACAACTCCCACAATCCCTAGCAGCCTGCCAGCTGATGCTTGTGTGCCTCCCTCCCTCCCTCTGCGTGTGGAGCAGGTGTTGTCCTACGAAGGGGGCCAGGTGGTGGAGAGCGTGTCGGGCTTCACGGGCCGGGCGTCCTTCGCCTTCCCCCCCACGGCCAGCGCCACCCTCCTCCTCAACGACACCCGAGGCTCCGACAGCGGCCGGTACCAGTGCAGCGTCCTCAACCCGCCCGACAACCAGCTGCCCAACATCGGGGTCATCCAGCTCACTGTCTTCGGTAACCCACATTGCGGGGTGGGCTAGATGGCCTTGGGGGCCCCCTCTCAATTCTAAGATTCATATATGGATGGATAGATGGATAGATAGAAGGATCGATGGATGGACGGATGGATAGATAGAAAGATGGATGGATGAACGGATAGATAGAAGGATGGATGAATAGATGGATAGAAGGATGGATGGATGGGTAGAAGGATGCATGGATGGATAGAAGGATGGATGGATAGATAGAAGAATGTAAGTATGGATGGATGGATGGATGGATAGATAGAAGGATGGATGGACAGACGGATGGATAGATAGAAGGGTGGATGGATGGACGGATGGATAGATAGATAGAAAGAAGGATGGATGGATGGATGGATGGATGGATGGATGGATAGAGGGATGGATGGACGGACGGATGGATAGATAGAAGCTTGGATGGATGGACGGATGGATAGACAGAAAGAAGGATGGATGGATGGATAGATAGAAGGATGGATAGAAGGATGGATGGATGGTAGAAGGATGCATGGATGGATAGAAGGATGGATGGATGGATAGAAGGATGTATTGATGGATAGATAGAAGGATGTATGTATGGATGGATGTATGGGTGGATAGAAGGATGGATGGATGGATGGATGTATGGATAGAAGGATGGATGGATGGATGGATAGAAGGATGGATGGATGGATGGATAGAAGGATGTATGGATGGATAGAAGGATAGAAAGAAGGATGGATGGATGGATGGTTAGAAGGATGGATGGACGGATGGATAGATAGAAAGAAGGATGGATGGATGGGTGGATGGATGGATAGATAGACAACCAGCTGCCCAACATCGGGGTCGTCCAGCTCACCGTCTTCGGTAACCCACATTGCGGTGTGGGCTAGATGGCCTTTGGGGCCCCCTCTCAATTCTAAGATTCATATATGGATGGATAGATGGATAGATAGAAGGATCGATGGATGGACGGATGGATAGATAGAAAGATGGATGGATGAACGGATAGATAGAAGGATGGATGGATAGAAGGATGGATGGATGGATAGAAGGATGGATGGATGGATAGAAGGATGCATGGATGGATAGAAGGATGGATGGATGGATGGATGGATGGATAGAAGGATGTATGGATGGATAGGATAGAAAGAAGGATGGATGGATGGATGGGTGAATGGATGGACGGATGGATAGATAGAAAAAAGGATGGATGGATGGATGGATGGATGGATAGATAGAAGGATGGATGGACAGACAGATGGATAGATAGAAGGGTGGATGGATGGACGGATGGATAGATAGATAGAAAGAAGGATGGATGGATGGATAGAGGGATGGATGGATGGACGGACGGATGGATAGATAGAAGCTTGGATGGATGGACGGATGGATAGACAGAAAGAAGGATGGATGGATGGATAGATAGAAGGATGGATAGAAGGATGGATGGATGGTAGAAGGATGCATGGATGGATAGAAGGATGGATGGATGGATAGAAGGATGTATTGATGGATAGATAGAAGGATGTATGGATGGATGGATGTATGGGTGGATAGAAAGATGGATGGATGGATGGATAGAAGGATGGATGGATGGATAGAAGGATGTATGGATGGATAGAAGGATAGAAAGAAGGATGGATGGATGGATGGATGGATGGATGGATGGATGGATAGATAGAAGGATGGATGGACGGATGGATAGATAGAAAGAAGGATGGATGGATGGATAGATAGACAACCAGCTGCCCAACATCGGGGTCGTCCAGCTCACCGTCTTCGGTAACCCACATTGCGGGGTGGGCTAGATGGCCTTTGGGGCCCCCCTCTCAATTCTAAGATTCATATATTATTATTGTAATATATCATAATATTATTATTATATATTATTTTATTATTATTCTATGCAATAATAATAATAATAATAATAATAATAATAATAATGATAGTAATAAAAATAAAATAATAATAATAATGTCGCTTCCCTTTCAGTGCCGCCATCGGGCCCGCAGTGCTGGCGTGAGGGCGACCTGGGCGAAGGGGACGGACTACGATTTGCGTGTTCGGTGGGCGACGGGGTGCCCCACCCCACCTTCACCTGGGAGAAAATCCCGGCCGACGCCTGGCACCCTTTGGTCACCACCTACGAAGGTAAGCAAGGAGGGGATGATGGCCATCTGTCGGGAGGGTTTTCCTTGCGTCTCCCTGCCTGCCTGCCTGGCGGAAAGAACAGGGTTGGACTAGATGGGCTTTGGGAGCCCCTTCCCACTCTAGCAAATGCCAATGGGCTTTCCTTCTTCGAGGAACTTTCAGCAGATGGGCATCTTTCAGGAGTGATTGAATCGAATGTCAGAATGGGGTTGGACTGGATGGCCTTTGAGGTTCCCTCCCAATTAGCATCCCATTATTATCATCATCATCATCAATATAATATAGTATATTATTATTTTTTAGTGTATTATAATAATAATAATAAATTATTATTATTATTCATGGCCTTCCAACTAGCATCCTATTATTACTATTAATATATTATAGTATTTTATAGTTTATTATTATAGTAATATATTGTTGCTATTATTATTATAGTAATATTATTATTAATAATAATAATCAGGGACAGAATGGCCATCTGTTGGGAGGGATTTATTTGTGTTTATTTTTGGACTTCCAACTAGCATCCTATTATTACTATTATTTTTATAATTATTATTACTAAGATAGTATAGTATATTATTATTTTATAGTTTTTTATTATTATTGTAATATATTATTATTTCTATTATTATTATTATTATTATTATTATTATTATTATTATTATTAAGCAGGGGCAAAATGATCATTTGTTGGGAAGGATTTATTTGTGTTTGTGGCCTTCCAACTATTATTATTATTACTATTATCATCATTAATATAGTATAGTATATTATTATTTTGTAGTTTATTATTATAGTAATATATTATTATTATTATTATTATTATTATTACTACTACTATTATTATTATTAAGCAGGGGCAAAATGACCATGTTGGGAGGGATTTATTTGTGTTTGTGGCCTTCTAAGTAGCATCCTGTTATTATTAATAATATTTTATTATTATATTATTATTATTATTATTGCTATTATATTATTATTTCATTATTATTACTATTGATGATGATGATGGGCAGGCAAACGCCCCGCCTTGTTAACGCTGCACGACGTGACAATTATAATATTATTAAATGATAACAATATTATTATTATTATTATTATTATTGCTATTATATTATTATTTCACTATTATTATTACTGTTGTTGTTGTTGATGATGATGGGCAGGTGACCGCCGGGCCTTGCTGACGCTGCACAATGTGACGTCGTCGGCGTCTGGCCTGTACCGCTGCACGGCCTCCAACATGCTGGGCTCGGCTTCGTGCGCCCTGGAGCTCCACGTCCACCTCCGTGAGTGACCCCCTCTTGACACTCCGAACCAGAACCGCCTTGGGCGATCCGGAACAGCCTTGGGCGATCCGGAACAGCCTTGGGTGGTCGGGAACCGCCTTGGGCGATTCGGAACCGCCTTGAGAGATCTGGAACTGCCTTGGGCGATCTGGAACCGCCTTGGGTGGTCCGGAACCCACTTGGGCGGTCCGGAACCGCCTTGGGCGATCCGGAACCGCCTTGGGCAATCCGGAACCGTCTTGGGCGATCCAGAACTGCCTTGGGCGATCCAGAACCACGTCACCTTCTGGGCTCCTTCATTTCCAGCTCCGGACGGGGCCACCTCGCTGGTGGTGGGCATTGCCCTCCTGCTGGCCATGGGCACGGTTCTCCTGGCCCTGCTGGCCCTCGTCCTCTGGCTCCACCAGCGCGGACTCCGCAAGCAGAGGGAAGGCGCCCACCACGACCACGACCACGACGACGAGGAGTCCCATAACGAAATACGGTAATAACAACATCAATCAAACTATACACGTAATAATCCACTGACCTTGCACGTTAGAGTAAACACCACATCCCAGTGTTCCCTTCTCTCTCCATTGGTGGGGAATTTGCATGACCCACACCCACTGCCTCTCCCTTAACCCTTCCCTATGTTCCTTTCTCTCTCCATGAAGCATTCTCTCCTGACGTTTCGCCTGCATCTTTGGTAAGCATCCTCAGAGATTGTGAGGTCACAACAAACCTATTATTATTATTATTATTATTATTATTGGTTTGTCGTAAGTTTTCTGGACTGCATGGCCGTGTTCCTGAAGCATTCTCAGCTGACGTTTTGCCTGCATCTGTGGCAAGCATCCTCAGAGATTGTGAGGTCACAACAAACTGATAATAATAATAATAATAATAATAACAACAACAATAATAATAGTAATAATGTTGGGGTCTGTGAATACTAATCCTAGTGCTTGGCAGAAGGGGGTTGGACTGGATGACCTTTGGGGCTGCCCTAAGATTGCATTGTTTTTATTATACATTATTATTATTATTATTATTATTATTATTATTATTATTATTATCATCATCATCAGAAAGTGGTTGTGATGACCTCTTCTTCCCCTGCAGAATGGACAGCTTCTCCTTGGGGCGCCTGCGGGTTGCGAAAGGGGGTCCCCCGCCCGCCCGGCCCCTCTGGGTCTTCACCAGCGCCGCCCCCAATGCCACCTTCGCCCACCGAGAGTGGAGGACCACCGCGGCCACGCCCACCCTGCCGGGCGGGACAACTGCCCCCCACTTGGCCCTGGAAGAGGAAGAGCCCCTCCCCGCCCCCGGCCCCTTCCCCAGGCCCACCGGGTTCCTGGTCTAGGGAAGGACCCCCCCCCCCCCCGGGAAGGCACCACCCGATCCCTTCCGACAGATGGACATCTGGCCTCGGATAAACAATAAATAATAATAAATTCAATAAATAATGATCATAATGTCATAATCAATAAATAATCCCATATCATTCTCAAGCTGGGAGAGAGCCCCAGGGTCATTCAGGCGAACGGAAAGGCACCACCCGATCCCTCCCGCCAGATGGACATCCGGCCTCTGCATCATAGAATCCCAGTTGGAAGACACCAACAGGGTCATTTGGTTCAACAGGAAGGCACCACCCGATCCTTCCCGACAGATGGACATCCAACCTCTGATAAACAATAAATAATAATAATAAATTCAATAAATAATAATCATAATAATCTCATAATCAATGAATAATCCCTTATCATTCTCGAGTTGGGAGAGAGCCCCAGGGTCATTCGGGCGAACGGAAAGGCACCACCCGATCCCTCCCGACAGATGGACATCCGGCCTCTGCATCATAGAATCCCAGTTGGAAGATAGAAACAAGGTCATTTGGTTCAACAGGAAGGCACCACCCGATCCCTCCCGACAGATGGACATCCAACCTCTGATAAACAATAAATAATATTTTTTCTCCTTGGATTTCTTTGAGAGCATCTCAATCCCAGCATATTTCCAATTTCCTATTCCAGGACTACAACTCCCAGAAATCCTCCAGATGGATAGATTGGATAGAGATAGGTAGGTAGGTAGATCGATCGATCAGGAGGAGTGCTGGGAGTTGAAGTCCAAGAATAGATAGAGAAGGAAGGAAGGGGAGAAAGGGGAAGGGAAAGAAAAGATGGGGGGAAGGAAGGGAAGAAGAAGAGAAGGAAGGAAGGAGAGAAGGAAAGAAAAAAAGGGAAGGAAGGGAATTGGGAAGGAAGGAAGGAAGGAAGGAAGGAAGGAAGGAAGGAAGGAAGGAAGGAGAAGAGGAGGAAAAAAAGGAGAGGAAGAGGGAAAGAGAAAGAAGAAAAGAGAGAGAGGAAGAAGAAAAGGAAGAAGAGAGAAGGAAAGAAAGGAAGGAAGGAGAAAGGAGGGAAGGAAGAAGGGAGAGAGAAGGAAAGAAGAGAAGGAAAGGGAAGGGAAGGGGGAGAAGGGAGGGAGGAGAGAAGGAAGGAAAAAAAGGAAGGAAGGAAAGAGAAGGAGAGAGAGGAAGAAGGAGAAGAGAGAGAAGGAGGAGGAAGGAAGGAAGGAAGGAGAGAAGGAAAGAAAAAAGAGAAGGAAGGAAGGAAGGAAGGAGAAGGAGGAAAGAAGAGAAGGAAGGAAAGAGAAGAAGAAAAAAGTGAAGGAAGGAAGGAAAAAAGAAAGGGAGGGAAGGAAGGAAAGATGGAGAAGGAAAGAAGGAAGGAAGGAAAGAAAAAAAGAGATGGAAGGAAGGGAAGGAAGAAAAGAGGGAAGGAGAGAAAGAAAGAAGAGAAAGAGGGAGGGAAGGTTGGCCACAGCAACATGTGGCGGGTACGGCTAGTAGTGCAATAATAATGTGATTACTGGCCACATCCAGGCATTTGGTAGCCGCGGAATGAACCTTCCAGAAGAGAACACAATTATTTCCCCGGTTGTATTTCCCAGGTTTATTCTTCTTTTTTCTTAAAAAGACAGAAGAGGAAAAGCAGAAAGGAAGGAGTGAAGGAATGCGGGGCTATTTGGGGGGGCCTTGGCACTCGGGTTCCTCGACTATTTGGGTGCCTTGGCACTCGGGGTCCTCGACTATTTGGGTGCCTTGGCACTCGGGGTCCTCGACTATTTTGGGTGCCTTGGCACTCGGGTGCCTCGACCATTTGGGTGCCTTGGCACTCGGGTTCCTTGACTATTTGGGTGCTTTGGCACTCGGGTTCCTCGACTATTTTGGGTGCCTTGGCGCTCAGGTTCCTCGACTATTTGGGGGCCTTGGCACTCGGGTTCCTCGACTATTTGGGTGCCTTGGCACTTGGGTTCCTCAACTATTTGGGTGCCTTGACACTCAGGTTCCTCGACTATTTGGGTGCCTTGGCACTCGGGTTCCTCGACTATTTGGGTGCCTTGGCACTCGGGTTCCTTGATTATTTTGGGTGCCTTGGCGCTCAGGTTCCTCGACTATTTGGGGGCCTTGGCACTCGGGTTCCTCGACTATTTGGGTGCCTTGGCACTCGGGTTCCTCGACTATTTGGGTGCCTTGGCACTCGGGTTCCTCGACTATTTGGGGGCCTTGGCACTCGGGTTCCTGGGCTCCGTCCACCAAAACACAGCGTCCCGTTCTCTTCACCAGAACACAAAACAGTATTAATCTTATTAATTAATTAATAATAATAATACAGGAAATAAAAAGAAAGAGGGAAGGTCTTGTCCTCCAGGGAGGCGGGTGCAGGGGGGGGGCATCTATAGGGGCGTGCAATATGGCGACCGTGATTCCGCATGCGTGCCGGAGAGAGAGAGAGAGACGAGGGTCCTTCCGTAGGCAAAGCCGGAGGCCGGAAAGCAGGCCGAATGTCCACAGCGACGGCCATATTCCCATCCCACGGGACCGCGGGTTTTTTTGTAAGGTCCTATATACAACCAAGGTGGCGCTGGGTTGGGACCGACCTCGGTGTCGTTGTCGTCCTTCTGCGCCGATTAATCCAAAATGCCAAGCGACGGATCGTCCGGTCAGTGCGAGTCCTTGATGATGACCTCCACGCCGTGTTGGCGCAGCTGCGCTCGCAGGATCAGGTTCTTGTTCTTGAGGTCTTCCACCTGCGGGAGAAGCGGAGGAGTCGGGACAAGGATTAGCACGCTGGGGGAGGTGGAGTCCCCAACACCCGGCGGGAAGGAGGGCCAACATTACGCGTTGCCAGGCGGGGTCCTCACCTGCTGCCGCAAGACCTCGTTGTCGACGTGGAGCTGCTCCAGGCTCTGGAGCTCCTCGGAGAGGCGGACGTTGCCCTGGCGCAGCTCCTGGATGTAGTCGCAGGCCTTGGAAAGGATGCCCCCCTTGCTCTGCACGAGGGAGGGAGGGAGGGAGGGAGGAGAGGCAACGAAGGGTCAAACCATGAGTGGGGTTGGACTGGATGGCCTTTGGGGGGCCCTTCCAACACTCTGACTCAATAACATAACAATAACAACAACAACAACAACAATAATGTCAGACTGGATGGCCCTTCCTTCTGATTTTCTGATTCAACAACAACAACAATAACAACAATGCCTTCCAGAAGGGGGTTGGACTGGATGGCCTTTGGGAGTCCCTTCCAACATTCTGACTCAATAACATAATAATAATGATGATGATGATGTCAGACTGGATGGCTCTTGGGTTCCTTCTGATTCAATAATAATAAAATAATAATAATAATGCCTTCCAGAAGGGGGTTGGGCTGGATGGCCTTTGGGGGTCACTTCCAACACTCTGACTCCATAACATAACAACAACAACAACAACAATAATGTCAGGCTGGATGGCCCTTGGGTTCCTTCTGATTCAATAATAATAATAATAATAATAATAATAATAATAATAATAATAATAATGATAATGCTCTGCACAAGGGAGGAAGGAAGGAGAGGCACCAAAGGGTCAAACGATGAGTAGGGTTGGACTGGATGGCCTTTGGGGGTCTCTTCCAACACTCTGATTCAATAACGTAACAACAACAACAACAACAACGCCTTCCAGAAGGAGGTTGGACTGGATGGCCCTTTGGGGGTCCCTTCCAACACTCTGACTCCGTAACATAACAACAACAATAATAATAATAATAATGATGTCAGGCTGTCTGGCCCTTGAGTTCCTTCTGATTTTCTGATATAATAATAATAATAATAATAATAATAATAATAATAATAATAATGCCTTCCAGAAGGGGGTTGGACTGGATGGCCTTTGGGGGTCTCTTCTAACACTCTGACTCAATAACACAACAACAACAACAACAATGTCAGACTGGATGGCCCTTGGGTTCCTTCTGATTTTCCGATTTAATAATAATAATAATAATAATAATAATAATAATAATAATAATRATGTCAGACTGGATGGCCCTTGAGTTCCTTCTGATTTTCTGATTCAATAATAATAATAATAATAATAATAATAATAATAATAATAATAATAATGTCAGGCTGTCTGGCCCTTGAGTTCCTTCTGATTTTCTGATTCAATAATAATAATAATAATAATAATAATAATAATAATAATAATAATAATAATGCCTTCCAGAAGGGGGTTGGACTGGATGGCCTTTGGGGGTCCCTTCCAACACTCTGACTCAATAACATAACAACAACAACAACAACAACAACAATCATGTCAGACTGGATGGCCCTTGGGTTCCTTCTGATTTAATAATAATAATAATAATAATAATAATAGTAATACCTTCCAGAAGGAGGTTGTACTGGATGGCCTTTGGGGGTCCCTTCCAACACAATAATAATAATAATAATAATAATAATAATGATGATGATGATGATGATGATGATGATGATGATGATGATGTCAGACTGTATGGCCCTTGGGTTCTTTCCAACTCTCTAATAATAATAGTGATAATGATGATGGCATCTCCTCTGGTGGTTGGATGGCTATCTGTTGGGAGGGATTGGATTGTCCCTTCCAACACAATAATAATAATAATAATAATAATAATAATAATAATAATAATAATAAATGAGGATGACGGCATCTCCTCTGGAGGCTGTGAAGCAGAGGCTGGGCGTCCATCTGTCGGGAGGGATCGGATGGTGTCCTCTCACCTGCCCAGACTTGGTGTTCTCCATCGAGCAGTCGGGGATGATCTTGGACAGCTGCACGATCCAGTTGTTGATCTTGTCCCGGCGACGGCGCTCCACTGCAAGACAGGCACGCCCATCCTACATTTCCTGTGTTTCCTCCACCACAGGCACCCCAGTGTTCCTTCCTCTCTCTCTCCATTGGTGCAGAATTTGCATGACCCCCGCCCACTGTCTCTCCTTTCACCCTTTCCTATTCTTTTCTCTCTATGGAAGCCTACAGCTTGTAATGCCAGCCATACTATATAGTATCGAGGCGCATTGTGCCTGACCTTCATTGTGTTGGGCCCTCCGCTTCTCATCCCGAGTCGTCCGCGGGGCTTCGGATTTTCTGAAAACAGGAAGAACCAGTGTTTAGCATTCCTCTTAAAAAGCCAAAAATTACAACGCAGACGCAAAACCACATATACATATACACAAACATACATATATACACACAAAACATACACAAAAAGGAGGAAGGAAGAGTAGAGAAGGAAGGAAGGAGAGAAGAAGGGAAAGAAGAAGGGAAAGAAGGAGGGAAGGAAAGAAAGAAAGGGAGAGAAGGAAGGACAAAGAGAAGGAGGGAGAGAAGAAGAGAAAGAAGGAGAGAAAGAAAGGTAGAGAAGGAAGGAGGGAGAGAGAAAGAAAAGGGAAGGAAGGAAGGAAGAAGGAAAGGAAGGAAGGAGGGAGAAAGGAGGGAAGAGAGGAAGAAAGAAGGAAAGAAAGAAGGAGTAGAAAGAAGGAAGGAGAGGAGGAGGAAGAAGGAGAGAAGAAAGGGAGAAGGAGGAAGAAAGAAAAAAGAAGGTAGAGAAGGAAGGAAGGAGAGAAGGAGGGGAGAAAGAGGGAAAGAGAAGGGAAAGAAAAGAGAGAAGGAGAAAGAAAGAAAGAAAGGGTAGAGAAGGAAATAAAGAAGGACATAAAGAAAGGTTGAGAAGGAATGAAGGAGAGAAGGAGGGAAAGAAGAAGGGAAAGGAGAGAAGGGGAGAAAGAAGGGTAGAGAAGGAAGGAATGAGAGAAGGAGGGAGAGAAGAAGAGAATAAAGGAGGGAAGGAGGGAAAGAAAGGTAGAGAAGGAAGGAGGGAGAGAAGGAGGAAGAAGGGAAAGAAGGAAGGAAAAAAGAAGGGTAGAGAAGGAAGATAGGAGAGAAGGAGGGAAAGAAGAAGGACATAAAGAAGGAAAGAAAAAAGGGTAGAGAAGGAAGGAAGGAGAGAAGGAGGGAAAGAAGGGAAAGAAGGAGGGAAGGAGAGAAAGAAGGGTAGAGAAGGAAGGAGGGAGAGAAGAAGAGAAGGAGAGAAGGAAGGTAAAAAAGAAGGTAGAGAAGGAAGGGGAAGAGAAGGAGGGAGAGAAGAAGGAAGAAGGAAAGAAAGAAGGTAGAGAAGGAGGGAGATAAGGAGGGAGAGAAAGAGGGAAGGAGAGAAGGAAGGAAAGAAAGGAGTAGAGAAGGAAGGAAGGAGAGAAGGAAGGAGAGAAAGAAGGGTAGAGAAAGAAGGAAATAAAAAAGTGAAAGAGGGAAGGAAGGAGAGAAGGAACGAAAGAGAGAAAGAGGGAGGGAAGGAAGGAAGGAAGAGGGAAGGAAGGAGGAAAAAGAGGAAAGGAAGGAGAAGAAACCAGGTAGAGAAGAAAGAAGAAGGGAAAGAAAAAGAGGGAAGGAAGGAAAGAGGGAGGGAAAGGAGAGAAAGAAAGGAGAGAAAGAGGGAGGGAAGGTTGGCCACAGCAACTACAGCTAATAATATAATATAATATAATATAATATAATATAATATAATATAATATAATATAGGGAGGAGGCTGGACTAGATGTCCTTTGGGATGTGTTTATAAGAGAAGGCTGGGTTTCGAAATATGTAAACAAGAGCCGTGTGGCTAAGAGCGGACTCACGGCGAATAGGGGTGGGTCCTGGGAGCGATGGAGCGCTGCGTCCCGCTCTGCAGGATCTCCTGCGGAGACATCATGACGAAAAACTGGCCTGGAAAGGAGAGGAGAAAACATCATTCTTAAACAGAATATAATAATAATAATAATAATAATAATAATAATAATAATAATAATAATAATAATTATTATTATTATTATTATTACTAATAATAATATTTGCTGATGCAGAAAGGAAGGCAAATCCTGCACTCTGCTAATAATATAATATAATAATATAATATATTGTATATACATATATTACTGATAATATAATGTACTACAATATAATACTAATCTATATCTATAAATTTGTTAGGGGCATCCAACGAGGAAACAAAACTCAAAAACCCCCCAACGAAACTTAACCAAAATTCCCATGCCCATAACACAACCCACAAGGTACAAACATATCTACTCAAAATGAAAAACAACACAACAACACACTCACAAAACGGCAAAACAACAAAACTCAAAAACCCCCAACGAAACTTAACCAAAATTCCCATGCCCATAACACAACCCACAAGGTACAAACATATCTACTCAAAATGAAAAACAGCACAACAACACACTCACAAAACAGGCAAAACAACAAAACTCACAAACCCCCCAATGAAACTTAACCAAAATTCCCATGCCCATAACACAACCCACAAGGTACAAACATATCTACTCAAAATGAAAAACAACACAACAACACACTCACAAAACGGCAAAACAACAAAACTCAAAACCCCCCAACGAAACTTAACCAAAATTCCCATGCCCATAACACAACCCACAAGGTACAAACATATCTACCCAAAATGAAAAACAACACAACAACACACTCACAAAACGGCAAAACAACAAAACTCAAAACCCCCAACGAAACTTAACCAAAATTCCCATGCCCATAACACAACCCACAAGGTACAAACATATCTACTCAAAATGAAAAACAACACAACAACACACTCACAAAACGGCAAAACAACAAAACTCAAAACCCCCCAACGAAACTTAACCAAAATTCCCATGCCCATAACACAACTTTGATATCTACCTCAACTTTGATAAGTTTTACTATAGGCCACAGCAACGCGTGGCAGGGCACAGCTAGTATATTATAATTAGGTATTTTTATATTACTAATAATATTACAGTATAATGGTATAGTAGGTAAAGGTAAAGGTAGTCCCCTGACGTTAAGTCCAGTCATGTCTGACTCTGGGGTGTGGTGCTCATCTCCATTTCTAAGCCGAAGAGCCAGCGTTGTCCATAGACACCTCCAAGGTCATGTGGCCGGCATGACTGCATGGAGCGCCGTGGTATAGTATAGTATAGTAGTATATAGTATGGTATAGTATAGTAGTATATAATACTGATATTATGCTATGGTAATAATATAATATATTTTATATACATATAATATTGACACTATTATAATGCAATACAGTATAATATTAATATTATATTATAATTAGGTATTTTTATATTACTAATAATATTACAGTATGATGGTATAGTACAATATAGTAATTATTATTATTATTATTATTAGCTGATGCAGAAAGGAAGGCAAATCCTGCACTCTGCTAATAATATAATATAAAATAAAATAAAATAATATAATATAATATAATATAATATAAATACATATAATATTGATACTATTATAATGTAATACAATATAATACTAGTAAGATATTATAATTAGATATTTTTATATTATTAATAATATTACAATATAATGGTATAATACAATATAGTAGTATATAATACTGATATTATGCTATGGTAATAATATAATATTGATAATATTATAATGTAATACAGTATAATACTAATATTATATTATAATTAGGTATTTTTATATTACTAATAATATTACAGTATAATGGTATAGTACAATAGAGTAATATATAATACTGGAGGAAAGGGAAAGAAAGGTGGGAAGGAAGAAAGAAAGGAAGGTGATGAAGAGCTGAAGGCAGAGAAAATGGAAAGAGGGAAGGAAGGAAGGAAAGAGGAAAAGGAGAAAGGAAAGAAAGAAGGAGAAAAGGGAAAGGAAAAGGACAGGAAGGAAGGAAAGGAAAAGACAAATGGGGCGAGGGAGGGAAGAAAAATAGAAAAAAATAGAAAGGAAGGAAAGGAGGGAAGGATGGAAAGGGGAAAGAAAGGTGGGAAGGAAGAAAAGAAAGAGAGAAAGGAGAACAGAAAGAGAAAAAAGAAGGAAGGGAAAGACGAAGGCAGAGAAAGGGGAAAGAGGGAAGGAAGAAAGGCAGTAAGGAGGAAAAGAAGTAAGGAGGGAGGGAGAGAGGAAAGAAGAAAGAATATGAAAAGAAGGAGCGGGAGAGGGAGGAAGAAGAAAGGAAGGAAGGAAGGAAGGAAGGAAGAGGAAAAGAAAGAAGGAGGGGGAAGGGGAGAGGAAAGAAGAGGAAAGAAGGAGGAGAGGGAGGGAAGGATTAAAGAAGAAGGAAGGAAGGAAGGAAGGAAGGAAGGAAGGAAGGAAGGAAGGAAGGAAGGGAAGAAAGAAGGAAAGAAAGAAAGAAAGAAAGAAAGAAAGAAGAGGAAAAGAAGGAGTGAGAGAGGAAGGAAAAGGGAAGAAAAGAAAGAAGGAAGGAAGGAAGGAAGGAAGGAAGGAAGGAAGGAAGAAAAGAATTAAGGAAGGAGGGAGAGAGGAAAGAAGAGGAAAAGAAGGAGTGAGAGAGGGAGGAAAAGGGAAGAAAAGAAAGAAGGAAGGAAGGAAAGTGGAAAAGAAGTAAGGAAAGAGGGAGAGAGGAAAGAAGAGGAAAAGAAGGAGTGAGAGAGGGAGGAAAAGAGAAAGAAAGAAAGAAGGAAGGAGGAAAAGAAGGAAGGAAGCAGAGAGAGAAGAAAGAAGAGGAAAAGACGGAGCGAGAGAGGGAGGAAAAAGGAAAGAAGGAAGGAAGGGAAGGAAAAAGGAAAAGGAAAAAAGAGAAAGGAAGGAAGGAAAAATGAAAAGAATGAAAGGGAAAGGAAGGAAGGAAGCAATGGAAGAGGAAAAGAAGAAGGGAAAGAGGGAGAAAAGGAAGGGAGGGAAGGAGGAAAGGGAAAGAAAGGTGGGAAAAAAGAAAGGAAAAATAAAAAAGAAAGAAAATAGGAAAGGGGAAAAAACGAAAGGAAGGAAGCGATGGAAGAAGGGAAGAGGGCAGGAAGGGGACTGACCAGTGCCGGTGGGGGTGGCCTGGCCCAGCAAGGCGTCCGAGTTCTGGGCAGTGACCACGGCGGTGGCGGTGGCGCTCCCGGCCCCCGAGGAGGCCCCCGAGTCGGACACGGCCGTGGCCGGGTAGTACGTGTAGTGCGTCTCCGTGGCCGCCGCCTCCGTCTCCACCGCATCCTCGCTCGTGAAGGCCCCCTGGATGACCGCCTGCCACGCAAGACAGGGGTAAATAAACACCATCACAACAACAACAACAACAACAACAACAACAATAATAGTGGAGAGAAAAAGCGGAGTACAAGGACCGAGCTGTGGCGCAACTAGTTAGTAGCCAGTTGTACTAAATCACTACTGACCGATTGGTCATGAGTTCAAAGCCAGCCCGGGTCAGAGTGAGCTCTCAACCATTCATAGTCTAGCTTGCTGTTGACCTATGCAGCTCGAAAGACAGTTGCATCTGTCAAGTCGGAAATTTAGGTACCGCTTTCCTGCGGAGAGGCTAATTTAACGAATTTACAATGCCATAAAATTCTCCAGCAGCGTGCAAAAGAATGAGGAAGTACTCCATTAAGTTGGAAAAGCTGGAATGTTAAATTGCCTCTGTGTCTGTCTATATAACATTATAATGTAATACAACATAATAGTAATAATAATGTGATATTATAATATTATTATGCAATACAATATAATAGTAATAATAATATATTATAATATTATAATGCAATATAATAATACGATATTATAATATTATAATGTAATACAATATAATAGTAATGATAATATATTATAATATAATGTAATACAATATAATAGTAATAATAATGTGATATTATAATATTATTATGCAATATAATAGTAATAATAATATATTATAATATTATAATGCAATATAATAATACGATATTATGATATTATAATGCAATACAATATAATAGTAATGATAATATATTATTATATAATGTAATACAATATAATAGTAATAATAATGTGATATTATGATATTATTATGCAATACAATATAATAGTAATAATAATATATTGTAATATTATAATGCAAT